CAGCCCGGGAGAGGCTGTTGGTGAGGCTTCATCCCAGTTAAACAAGATACTCCAGCGTTTTTGGAGATGCCAGCACCGTGGGTGACCACCAAGAACAGCAGCAGCAGTGGAGAGGAGCCAGCTGGAGCCTAGAAGACAAGCCGTGTGCGCTGCAGAGGGCAGAGCCAAAGAAGAGGCCCAGGTCCCTTGGAGGAGCCCAGAAGATCGTGAGTGAATCCCAGACGTTGAACACTGAGCGATTTATACTGTTGGGGTTGGGTTCTGCTTTGTTCAGACTGTGGCTGTGCCCTGGTTCTTCCCTCTTGAAGTAAGAAAGCATTTAATTTATTTTTATTTTACAGGAGCCCAGAGTTGCAAGACTTTGAATTTTAAAATACTTTGGATTTTTTAAGAAAGACTGACTATTTTAAGGAGGCTGACTTTTTAAGTGTTTGAATTGCTAAAGACTGTGAGATTTTTAAAATTTGGAATATTTAGACTGGGCAGTGGAGGTGCACACCTTTAATCCCAGCAGAGGGATTTTTAATCCCAGAAAAACTCTGTCTCAAAATGGAATGTTTATATTATATTTATTGATATGTGACCTTGGGAAGAACAAGAAATGAAGGGTTATGGCTTAACAAGTGATGTGTTTTTGTGTCAAGTTTACAAGGGGCCAATTGTGCTAACAAGTTTTATGTTAACCTGACACAAGCTAGAGTTATCTGAAAGGAGGGAACCTCAATTGAGAAAATATCTTTAGTTTTTCGAGACAGGGTTTCTCTGTGTAGCCCTGGCTGTCCTGGAACTCACTCTGTAGACCAGGCTGGCCTCTAACTCACAGAGATCCACTTGCCTCTGCCTCCCAAGGGCTGGGATTAAAGGCAAGCGCCACCACCACCCGGCTAGGATATTTCTGAAAATTAGAAATATCCCCATTGTTGGTGGTACCATCATTGGGCTAGGTTCCCTGGGTTCTACAAGAAAGCAGACTGAGCAAGCCAGTTAGCAGCTCCCCTCCACAGCCTCTGCATCAGCTCTTGCCTCCAGGTTCCTGCCCTGTGTGAGTTCCAGCCCTCCCTGCTTCTGATGATGAACTGGTGTACAGAATTATGCGTGAAAGAACCTCCCCCACGTTTTCTTAGCTTTTTACTAAGCCGTTCTATCTCTTCCTGCCACTCTGCTGCGGGCCACTCCCACCTGTCTCACAGAAATGGAAGGATCTCCAACTAGTCCCCCTTAGTCTACCGGCTTCACCCCGGTAAGAAGGGCTTTTTCTGAGAGCCGATTAAGGACAATGAATTGAGATGTGTTACGGAGAGAAAAACACAACTCTTGAAAACAAGGCGTCAGATGATGCCAGAGCACAGCAGAGGGTTCTGGGCTTCTAGAAACCCCAAGATGAGAAATCATTGCTCAGAGGGCTGCCCTGACACTGGAGCCAGCAGGAGGAATATCACCTTCTTCCCCCCCCCCCCCCCCCATTTGAGTCAGCAAGCAGCAAGCTCCGCTTATTTAGTTTCCCAGGTCCTTCCCCTGTCCGGGAAATGCCCTGGGTAATGGACAGAGGAATGCCTGGAGGTGATTACTGCTTGGACTCTGATTCTGAGTGAGCTCAAAGGAATGGGCCTGGCTTCCAATTAGGACGAAGCCAAGCCCAGGAGAGGAGCTAAATGAAGACAAGGCCTGGTGATTAACTGGGGTCTGGGCAGCCAGGAACTGAAGCATGCACCCTCATTTACCAAGATGGTGAGCAGCTGTGCTCACAGAAACATGGACCATGGATCAAGAAAAAAAAAAAAAACCTCTTCCCTGAAGCCAAAGGTTTTCCTGTCGAAGCAGGTTTTTGTGCATGCAGAAAGGGAGTAGAGGGAGGAAAGGTCTTTGTTTTAAGAACTCATCGAGCCCCAGTTTGTGCTGCCTATGAGACTAGGGAATCCACTAGAGTGTGGTTGACCTATAACAAGGGGTCATATTCGTAAAAACAAAACAAAACAAAAAAAAAACTGACTTTCCGGTCCCAGGAGCCATCAGCTGTCTGTAGCTCCTCAGGGTAGGGGCTGGTGAGCCTTTTGTGAGAAAAGGTTTTGCCTGGAGGTGTAGGAGCTAAGCTTTCAACCAGACTGGGGCTTCCGGCTACCTTCGTCTGCCCTAACGTCTGGGAGAATTTCAGCTCTGGCTATTTGAATGCAATAGACCTTTTATAGCAATGGCCCGTGTGACGAGTGTGTCCACAATGTCCCGGATGTGCACGGTGCCGTGGGGAAAGGAGTAGATGTGGTGATTCTAGCCCAACAGGAAACTCATTAGTCAGGGAGGAAAACATACCTATCTGACCTTGTTAATGTGCTGGAGTCAGAATTGTCATAACTGTTGAGACCGTGAGAGAGAGAGTAGACAGACAAGAAGCCCCAAGATGCCTGCAGAGAGTTTCCATGCTGGGTAGGGGGTTTTCCTAACACTCCCCCTTTAACAAATGCAGAAGAGCTCCTGAACACTCAGACGCACCACCACCATCTACCTTGTCTAGCTTGGGGGTGCTAAGATCACCCTGGTTCACAGCTCACTGATTCCCCCAAAACTTTGGCATCCTACTATTATATAGCTCTCCTCCACCATATCCTATGCTATGCCCAACCTGAATCTCTTCCTCCTTGCCCTTTCGGAGTTCCTAATTCAAGGTGGGCAAAATGTCCTTGACCCTCAATCTAGTCTCTAAGCCGCCCCACATATTTCTCACTTCCTGGCCTCCTCACCGTCTTCTCAGGGCACTGTGTTCTCTCATAACCCCATCGCCAGACTTGGACATGAGTCAGGTGTCCTTACTCCTCATTGTGACCTGCTAAGTTTCTCTTTGTTCCTCCGTAAGCCTGACACCCTATGCTGAATTTATGTCATCGGTTATGTAAACCACTGCTGCCTTCTCCTGCCCCCCTCCCCAGAGATTATTTTTCTAGTACATTAGATCCTGGTTTTCCTCTACTCCTGGCTTTCTCACACCATTTTACTCTAGTAGTGACTTCAACACACACATGTAGATGATGCTGCCCACGCCCAGTCTCTAAGTTCATTGAACTCCTTGCCGCTGGTGATCTCCCCATCACCCAACCCATGGCTGTGGCTACTGACTATAATGCCCCCTTCATGATCTCAATTCTCTATACCCCGTTTGTACAGCAGCCACCCCGTCTTTCCATTTCATCTCCTCACTGCAACCTCCTTTGAACCCCTCAGCACCTCTCACCTCTCTCGGGCCCCTTCTTTTGTTCCCACTCCCTTCCTGACCCAGAGTCAATGCCATGGTCAGTCATTAGACCAGTATGGCCACCTGCCAGCCCTCAGTCATTTACTCTCGTCTTTGTCATATCCACCGGCACGAACGGAAACTCAGTAAGAGCCTATCTCTGCCTACCGCAGCTGAATAAAGCTGAAGAGAACGGGCTACTTCAGAAGTTATGGTGATGGCGATCTGGCTGTCCTGGTTGATTCCATGTCAGCGTGACCCAAGCTAGAGTCCTCTGAGAGGAGAGAAACTCGATTATGAAAATGCCTCTTAAGATCGGGCTGTGCACAAGCCTGCAAGGGCTTTTTCTTAATTAGTGATTGATAGGGGAGGGCCCAACCCACTGTGGGTGGGGCGACCCCTGGCCTGGTAGTCCTGGGTTCTATAAGGAAACAGGATGAGCAAGCAAGCCATGGGGAGCAAGCCAGTAAGCAGCACCCCTCTATGGCCTCTGCATCAGCTCCTGCCTCCAGGTTCCTGCCCTGTATGAGTTCCTGCCCTCCCTGCTTTCAATGATAGAATTCAGAGTGAAATAAACCCTTTCCTCCCCAAGTTGATTTGGTCATGGAGTTTCATCACAACAAAAGTAACCCTAAGCAAGGCACTTGGGATTCAAAAAGCTCTGCCCTCAATCCTTAGCCCTACCCAAACTTAGCATGATAGAGCTTGCCTGTAAAGCTCAGGACTCTGGAAGTAGAGACAGGAGGATCAAAAAATCTATTTGGCTCCACAGAAAGTTTGAAGTCAGCCTGAGATACATGCAACCCTGTCTTAAAAATAAATAAGTAAATAAATTTAGAGGATGAAATTCAAGCCACCCCCCCAACACTGTTCAATAGTCCTTTGAAAATGATTTTATTATTTTATGAGTATGGATAATTGCCTGCATTAATATCTGTACCATATTTTGTTCTTTAAAAAATAATTCTAGGGTGACCGCAGCCACTAGTCCAGGCAGAGTCGGCTAGAGCAGTGCAGGTTCCCCACAGCGAGTGGCAGAGGGCTCATCCCGGACAGGCTGGTACCAGCCATGTGGCCGGGAGAGTCAGGCGGGAGGGTGACCAGGTGCGGCGGATAAAAGGCTTACAGGACATAATAAATAAACATAAGGCTGAATATAAAGATAAACATTTATTACTTAAAGAAGAGGCAGAGAGACATGGAGACAGACATAGAGGAGACACATGTGCACACGCCAAGAGAGGGGACAGAAGGAAGGGGTTAAGATGGCGATGAAGAGGTCAGAAGTGGCTGGGAGTGGGCGTGGCTTGCCCCTTAAAGGGACCAGACCAAAAGAATAACACCATATACATGTCTGATGCCCATCAGAATTCCTGAAACTAGAGTTACAAATGGTTATGAGCCACCGTGATGTGGGAGTCCCCTCTGTATGCTGTGAATATGTTTTGCACATTATCACTGGTTAATAAAGAAGCTGTTTCAGCCAATGGATTAGCAGAACAAAGCCAGGCAGGAAATTCAAACAGAGATGTAGAGAGAAAGTAGGTGGAGACCGAGAGACATCATGTAGCTGCTGAAAGAGAAAGACACCAGCCAGAACCTTACCCGGTAAACCACAGCCTTGTGACGATACACGGATTAAACAGCAATGTGTTAATTTAGGATGTAAGAGTTAGCTAGAAATATGCCTGAATCATCGGCCAAACAGTGTTGTAATTAATATATAGCTTCTGTGTGATTGTTCGGGTCTGAGCAGCCGGGAAACAAACGAGCAGCCTCCATCTACACTACCATGTAGGTTCTGGGAATTGAATGTGGGTCCTCTGAAAGAGCAGCCAGTGTTCTTAACCACTGATCCATCTTTCCCATGCCATAAGTTAGGTCTTTGAAAAAGAAACCCTTCTGCCATTTCCCTTCGTGCCTACTCTGGGCATGTCTGGGCAGCCTGGAGTCCCAGATCATTAGAGTCCTAGGACCATCTGGGTAAAGATAGGTTAACTGCTCTGCTCGCCTGGCCCCAGCACTGACTCTGTAACAGAAGTCTTTTTGAGGCCATGACTTCCTTTTCCCACAAGAATTCCAGCCTCAAGGCTGGCTGCCAACATAGACTTTCTCTAAGACGCCACTGCTACATAAGCAGCCTCTCAGCATAAATCAAGTTAAGCCATGAATGTGGAGGGCAGTCCTATGGCACAGAGTATGTCATACCCCAGGCCCACAGCCCCACAGAATGCATCCAGCACAGGAGAAACCGAGGATCATGCTATTAGGGACTCCTGCTGAAGAGGAGTCTCGTGACCTGGGGCTGTGACAACCAACCCTAAGCTAGTCTAACTAGAATCTATGTCCCATAGACTAAGGAGGCCCACATGTCTCCGCTGAGCACCAAGGGTGTTCTAGAACTTCCACTTGTGGGTTCTAGATACAAATCTTGGTTGATGCCCCACACTTCCCTTCCACACCCCTATTCACCACACATACAACACACACACAAACACAATGATTTGTTTTAGGGTCTTGCTATTTTGTCCTGGAACTCGTTATATAAACCAGATTAGTTTCGGACTTGTGGCAATCCTCCTGCCTCTGGTTCTGGAGTGCTGGGATTACAGACATGCAGCACCTTGCCTCGTACAATGTTCCTTTTGTTTTGTTTGGTTTGTTCAAAGCCGTCTTCCTCTCCTTTATGCTCCCAGCATGAGGATTCCTGCTGTGTTTCTGGCTTCTTTCAAGTCTTCTATCTTCCTCTTTGCTGGTCAGTAGCAGGGCAGCAGGGGCAGCTGGCCTGGACCGCTTCTTCTGCAGCTGGGAAAGCCGGACATAACTCCCATCCAACTGCTATTTGATCCTCTGCCTTCTCCCCTGCTCCATTTTAGCCTCCTGAAGGAGGTTCTGATATCAAAGTCCATCAACATTTTCTCCCTAAGGGACAAGAAAGGACTGACTTGGAGAGAAGGGAATGAGAAAAATCAGGACAAGTCTGGGAAACGAAGGAGGCATTGGCTATTTCGATCCCATCACAGATGTCCGCATAGGACAGTGCCTCCATTATCAGCGAATTCTGAGGACATTCTCACATCCGTGCAATGCCTAGTCTAAAGGGAAAGCTGACCACAGCCCACTAGAGGGTAATACACAAAGAGAAAATGCAAGGGAACTCCCTAAGCCTCAGGATCGGAATGAATTGAAGCATTCAGTGTGAAGGCGGGAGCTGCAGAAAGACAGAAACATGGGATGCTGTTTGGGAGGTTAAAAGGACAAAAGAGGAAAATCAAATCAGCTAGCCCATACACCATGCATGTGAGTAAAGGACCCCCCCCAAAAAAAGTTTGATCTATCATAGTACTATAGACATTTCCCTTTGTGCTGTAGGTGTTATACCATGAAAGAAAACTAATTCGAACTTGATTTGGCTTTTTAGGAGTAGAGAGTAAAATTTATAACTTCAGCCTTTGATATATTTGTAAATATATCAAAAATACTGAATAGAAAAATGGGCTGGGGGGTGATGGTGCACATCTTTAATCCTAGCATTCGGGGGGCAGAGGCAGTTGGATCTCTGTGAGCATGAGTGGTGTGGGAGAATTGTCTGTATTCTGTCAATCATATTTTAATAAAACACTGATTGGCCAGGCAGGCAGTATAGGCGGGAAAGCCAGACAGGAAGTAGGGGTGGAGCAAAGAGACTGGGAGTTTTCTGGGACACAGGAAGTTCCTCAGCCACTCCTGCGCAGATCACTGAAGAGGCAGCATGTAACTTGCCCAGCTGAGAAAGGTACGGAGCCATTATGGCTAACATAGATGAGAATAATGGGTTAATATAAGTTATAAGAGTTAACAAGAAGCCTGACCTAATGGGCCAATCAGTTTATAACCTTATGGAGTCCTGTGTGTAATTTCTCTTTGGGATTTGCCGGCTGTTGGGGTACCGGGCGGGACGGAAACCCCAACAAGCCGGCCCTCATGCTACACATGAGGCCAGCCTGGTCTACAGAGTGAGTTCCAGGATGGCTGGCCAAGGCTGCTACACAGAGAAATCCTGTCTCAAAACAAAACAAAAACAAAAGAGAAAGGAAAATTTGGATTTTCCAAGCATCTTTGACCGCAGTCCTTTTTTTAAACCATGAAACATGATTAAACGGTGACCTATGAAACACAAGCCCTAGTGAGCCACTAATGTGTTCTGGGTTGTTGAAAAGACTGGCCTCATGGTAAGAATGTAAACTGAACAGAAAAGAAAACGGCCTGGCTTTAGAAAATACAGTTAGAGATTCAAACAGGGCTTGAGGTGTGGACTGTACCCGAAAGAGAGTAGAAACTATAAGTACTGGCTGAATGGAGGGTCTCAGGTTCCTTTTGTTTTCGTTTGTTTTGTTTTGTCTTTGACACAGGGTCTCATGTAGTCTAGGCTAGCCTCTAACATTGTACATAGCTGATTTTGAACTCCTGATCCTCCTGCCTCTACTTCCCAAGTGCTGGGACTATAGGTACAGAACCATGTGCCTGGCTTAGGAGAATGCATGTAGGGGAACAAAGCTGCCTCACTAAGGCCTAGAGGAATGGGGATGCTGACTGAAGTCCCCTGTCTATTTAGGTTTCTACTTAATCTTCGTCTTTCTTCTGCCCCATCCCTCACTTTCCTCCCTTTGTCTGTCTGCCTCTCTCTCTCAAGCCCCACCTAGAATTCACATGCTGTGGGTCTAGCCACATCAGAAACTCTCTGCTTCTCCTTCAAGTTGGGTTTCAGAATTTTGCTGAGTGGCATGGGACCCACCTAGTAACATCTAGGAAAGATAGTTTGAAAATACGAGCACAGCTATGGGAAACTTATTCAGGAACTTTAGGGTCAGGGGAAGTGAGGTAGATCTCCAGGAAATGCTATCTACTGTAAAGTCCAATGTTTTGACTTTATTTTTTTAACTTTTTAATTAAAAAGTAATATATTTTGATAATATTCTTCCTCTGCTCCACTCCTCCCAAATCTTCCCCACTAACTTTATGTTCTTTCTCTCTCTTAAAAAAAAAAAAAAAGCTGGTCAGTGGTGACCCACATATTCATACATTAATTCCAGCACTTGGGAGGCAGACACAGATGAGTCTCTGAGTTTGAGGCCAACCTGGTCTACAGAGTGAGTTTCAGGACAGAGAAACTCTGCCCCCCCCAAAAAAAGAGTCTGTTTGGTATTGGCCAACCGCTCCTCAGCCTAAGGCCTGCCCGGAGTGTGGTTGATATTCCCAGTGCCACCCCATTGAAGAAAGCTGATTTTCCCCTCTCCCAACAGCTATCCATTGCAAACAGCTTCTTGGTTAGCAATGGGACTTTGTAATATTCTGTTTAAATTGAAATTATACTCTGGAAGAATTGAGAAGGGAGCAGGTAACTTGCAGACAAGTGGGAATCTAAGATGATTTAAAGCAATTTTATTAGTTGTCTGTGTATTTATCCCTTTCCCAAAGCCCCACAGTTCCCAAATCCTGGAAGAATCCATGGTGAAGGGAAGCAGGATCCCATAGTGGTGGGGAAACGAGACCTGAGATTAAGACACCTGTACAGTGTACTCACGTGTCCCTTAGTGACAGAAAACTTTCTGAGAAGTGCATGGTTAGGCAGTTTCACCAGTGTATGAGTATCACAAGTCAGACTAGATGGCCAGTCACGGCACCTGGTCTCATGATTGGATGACAGACACAGTAAACATCACAAGGATGTGACTGCTGTCAAAAAGACCCATCATGCATTCTTGTAAGTCAGAGCACACTCTCAAGTTATTACAAAACCGGGGACATAGTTGTGTCTTGTTATAAGCATTATATACAGTACACAATGACATACGGTGTGCTAACACACACCTAGCAAGGTCTGCCTTTACCGGCATCACCAAGACTATAGAAGTGATGGGAATTCTTCAGCTCGTGGGTACTGACTGTGTGTTCAGTGGTAGAGTCCTTGACTACTAGATGCAAAGCTATGAGTTCATTTCCTATTCCCAAGGGAGAGCAAGAAGGAGTAGGGGGGAGGGCAGGGGAAGGAGAAGAGGTGTTTCAGCTTCGCTGTGCTCTTATGAGACCAGCATCATATTTGTCCAAAACGTGTTGTACATGACTGTATTGAGGATCTGAACATGCTATATGACCTTCCTGTCCCTCTATTCTCATCTGTGTTCTAAGTGTCATGAGAACTGAATAAGAAAACATATGTAAAACACATAATGCCCTCAATAAATTAGCAGCATATTTTTATTTGTTGGTTTGGGTTTTGATTTTGTTATTTTTGTTTTGTGCTTGTTTTATTTGTTTTTTGTTTGTTTGTATAGTTGATTTGGTGTTCTGGTTTTGGTTTTTGTCTTTTTCAAGAAAGAATTTCTTTGTGTAACCCTGACTGTCCTGGAACTAGCTCTGTAAACCAGGCTGGACTCGAACTCACAGAAATCTGCCTGCTTTTGCCACCTAAATGCTGGAATTAAAGGTCTGCACCACCACTGCCTGGTCTGTTTTGTTTGTTTATTTGTTGGATTGTTTTTTAAGATGAGACCTCACTATGCAATACTGGCTGCCCTGAAAACTTGCTATATAGACCAAGCTGGCTTTGAATGCACAAGAATCTGTGTCCTGAGTGCTAGGATTAAAGGCATACGCCACCACACCCAACATAGCAACATAATTCTTAATGACAATGAAATAATGGGAGAAATTTCTATCAGCGGAACTGAATGTACTTGATAAACTTAACAAAAGGAAGATGGATAAACGCAAGGGCCCGTGATCAGCTTGGCTCACCAGCTCTCCCTGTGACTGTGTCACTGGAGCTGGGGTTTGGGAGAGAAACAAGACCCACGAAGGTTTGCTGGCGCCAACGGGACTTTAGAAATCAGGGGCCACTTGAGCCACTCACATTCCCTTTTATTCCTAGAGATTTAATATCTACCTACCTAGTAAATGGCCATGATTGAAGAAAAGAGGACAAGAAAAAGAATGGCTTGCAGCTGGCCCTCAGCTTTAGATAATCAGGGCTTCAATGCTTTTTACACACAAAGGAGACCATGTGTAAAACATTAGCTAAATGCAGATATAAATCTAGTCTTTGACCAGTCCAGACCTAATCAATATCCTTTTCCACACCCTTTGAACTTTGAGTCTTCTGGCAATAAACAACAACAACAAAAATTCCAAACCCCATCCAAATCCGTAGTCCAGACATCCCAGCTTCAGCTCTCCTTCCTGTCCCACACTGCTGACATCTCAGCTCCTGTTACCACGTTCATTCCAGCGGCGATTCACATTCTTCTGGAAGAAAAAAATAGATGCTTGAAAGACAGAAAATTGCTCTTGTAATCACTTAATAAGGATTCCTGGACCGGAATACAGAGCCACGAACATGGATTTATGCTGAACCTTCATGAATTCCTTTCCCTCAGTTATTCTCATTGAACATGATGGTGTGCTCATTTAACTAGCAAGGTGAACGGAGAAAGGAGATTTAGGTTTTTACAAAAACAGAGGGAGTTCTTTTCATTTATTTGTTTTCAGTGTGTGTGTGGATGTTTTGCCTGCATGTATGTCTGTGCACCACACACATACCTGGTGTCTACTGAGTGTAGGAAGAGGGCATGGGATCTCCCAGAACTGGAGTTGTGATCCACCATGTGGGTGCTGGGAGTTGAACCCAGGTCCTCTGGGAGAGAAGCCAGTGCTTCTAACCGTTGAACCATCATCTCTCCAGTTCCTACAATAAGAATTTTGATTGAAATATAAACACATTAAGAGTACTTTGTTGGGGCTGGAGAGATGGCTCAGCAGTTAAGAGCACTGGCTGTTCTTCCAGAGGACCCATGTTCACTTCCCAGCACCCTCATGGCAGCTCACAACTGTCTGTAGCTCTAGTTCCAGGGACCTAGCACCCTCACACAGACGTACATGTAGGCGAAACATCAACGCACATAAAATAAAAATAAAGATAATGTATATAAAAATATACATTATAATATACGTGTGTTTTGTGTGTGTGTGTGTGTTTGTGAAATGTGTTTGCTTAGTTTCATCAGTTTTAGGTAGAATTAAGTTACTTTATTTCCTTCCCCAAAATAATTGATTTGGAAAAAAAAATAACCCTCATGCAATTTGACTTACAGAGTAGAAGGGGAATTGAGTAGTGGGTGCGAGAAACCTACCCGTGCCACAGCCAGTTCCCTGGGAAGATTCACGGCCTTGTCTCAAGACCATCCTGAGCTCATTCTAGCACGGGACTCTGAATCACTGGAAGCAAGTGCTGCTGTTTCCAGGGCTATCTTTGCCTCAAAAAGGAGAAAAGTCAAGACATGCAACCTAATCCTCTCACTATCTGGAAAAGAGATCAACCCATTTGTCACAAAAACGAAAATCAACAGCTAGGTAAATACTTAGGGTGAGCGTCTCCTACCTCAATAGCCCTGCATTTTGAAAGTGAACGAAAGCAGACATGCACGAGTGGTTGGATGTAATAGGAATAAGGTGGTTTGGTTGGGTTAACTGAACAACCCACACAAAATATGTTGTGAGTTCTTTCAGGATAGGAGGAATATATATACATATATATATATATATATCCAGCAATCTCTCTCTCTCTCTCTCTCTCTCTGTGTGTGTGTGTGTGTGTGCGTGTGTGTGTGTGCGCGCGCGCGCGCGCGCGCATGTCTGTGAAAAACAGAGATCAGAGTTAGGTGTCTCCTGTTGCTCACCACTTTAGTTTTTGACACAGGTTCTGGAGCTTCAGCCATCTCAGCCAGACTGTCTGGTCGGTGAACTCCCAGGATCCACCTGTCCAACAGCTCAGGAGTTGCAGGTGTTGTGTCCTTTCTGGGCACCTACATGAGTCCTAGGGATGTAAACTCGGGCTTTCATGCTTGTGTAGCACGCTTTTACCTGCTGGGCTATGTATTTCCTAATTTCAGGCAATGCCCAGCATGTGTATTTTTCTTCCCAGATGCATAAGCACTTCCATGAAGAAGAGTATTCATGACTGTATAATTGAGGGCAATGCTAAGACGTTTCCTCGTTTTGATTTGAACGGCCACCTTTATGAATTGGGGTCATCATGCCCTTTTACGGTGTCCCAAGACTCAGCTAACAGCACCAGTCTTAACCAGGGAGAAGCTGTTCAGATGCAAAATCTTGGGTCCATCTCACTCTCTGCCTCACAATCACATCCTAACAGGTGACTCACATACACACTCTAAGTCATTCCCCTGCCTCTGAGCAAAACTGGATTCCCAGATAGACCAGCCTCATTCATCCATTGTCAAATCGTCTATGGCGTGTCCTGTTTGAGTCCTTGAGAAGAAAGAGGAGATGCGCTCATTTAAGAAAGTCTCAGCTCCCAGAGTCAACAGCTTCATCGATACATTCAAGTGTCTATTCTTGGAAACCCTGAAGACAGGGTCACAGGAAGGGAAGCAGACAACGGGTTCATATTACAACCTCACATACAGAAAGAGCAGTACAGAAGCTTAGCCCATGAAAGAAGGGAGGAGGAGTTTCACCAAATTATCAGATCCAAAATTGTCTCGGCACTGTGGATGATTTATTACTCTAGAAGCTTAAAGGCTTCTCAGGCCCTGGCTATATTTCATTTCAGTGTAGTAACTTTTATCTAATGCTTCCCTGTGGCCTAAAACGAATGCCTAGGAATTACCACAGTGAAACGGGAGGGTGATTTGTACACTCATTCTGTAGCCACTCTGTAAGCTCGCAGCAGGACTGGACTCTTACAGTAGGCGACTCTAGGTGGCTTCGTGGCAGCTCAGCTTGCAGGCCGAAGCTGGGGACTTTGGAGAGTGATGTGTGCATGGTGCAGAGGGTCCTCCATATTAGCTGCACCGTGGAATCACCTAGAGAGTGTGTGTGGTCCGTCTGTCTGTGTCAGTGTCTGTGTGGACACATCAAGACCAGAGGCCAACCTTGGGTGCCATCCCCCTTGTTCTTTTCATTAGCCTTGACCTTGCCAATTAGGTGAGACTGACTGGCCACCAAGCCTCAGAGATCCACCCGTTCCTACATGTGCAGGATCAGAATTATAAATAAGTGCCTGCTTCCACACCCCACATTTAAAAAAAAAATGGGTTCTTTGGGCATGGTGGTCCATGCCTTTAATCTCCTCTATGAGTTCCAGGTCAGTCTGGTTTATGCAAAAAGTGAGTTCTGAGTATTGAACTCACTAGACAAGCATTTTACTCAATGAGCTTTCCCTAGCCCCAGACAAAATTTTCTCAAAACTGCTTTCTTGTGCTATAGTTGACTTACAATAAGCCACAGATATTTAAACAGACACTTGACTGAGCTTTGACATATACTGAAGAAGTCACCACAATCAAGCTACCCACACTCCAGATTTTCTCATACTTCTTTGCAGTCCCCCACCCCACCCCATCCTCAACCACTGATCTGTTTTACTTCACTGAAGATTCGCTTCATTTTCTAGGGTGCTATAGAAATGGAACCACGTGGTGGGTACATTTTGGGGAGGCAAGGGGTACCTTACTAACTTCTTTTAGTCTATGTAACTTTTCTGAGGTTTACCCATGTTGCAGGCATTAACTACATGCCCTTTCTGTTGCTAAGTAAGATTCCATCGTACAGATGAACTACGGTTAGTGTGTGACCATCTGCTGTTGATAGACATTTGGAATGTTTCTTGTTTGTTTCTGTCATGGATGATGCACTAGAAACCTTCATGTCCAAAGATGTGAAAATATGTTCACATGTTTATTTTTGCAAATATGTAGATGTGGGAATGATGAGTTTATTTTTTTAAAGACACGGCCAGACTTTTCTCAAAGTGGTTGTGCTTTTATTTGCCCACCAGATGTGCCTGAGTTTCAGCCACTCAACACCCTAAGGAAGCTGGTATTTCAGTATTTTGTTAGTCACTTGTCTTAGCTAAGGTTTACATTGCTGCAACGCAGCAAACAAACAAACAAAAAATAATACTGAGTTGGGGAGGAAAGGGCTCATTTGGCTCACACTTCCACATCACTGTTCATCATCAAAGGAAGTCAGGACAGGAACCTGAGCAGGACAGAGACCTGAAGGCAGGAGCTGATGCAGAGGCTGATGATGTTGCTTACTGGTTTGCTCCCCGTGGCTTGTTCAATCTACTTTCTTATAGAACGCAGGACTAGGGATAGAAATACTAACAATGGGAGGGCCCTCCCCACCTCCCCACCTCCCCCATCAATCACTAATTAAGAAAATGCCTTACAGCTGGATCTTATGGGGGCATTGTCTCAATTAAGAGTTTCTCCTTTCAGATACCTCTAGCTTGTGTCAAGCTGACGTAAGATTAGCCAGCATGCCACTCTAACAGTATGTACTAGTACCTCTTTGTGGTAGTCATTTAAATTTCCCTAATGGTCACTATCTTCTAGAGTTCCATTGGGTCTATAATATATCAGAGCGAACAGATAACAATACTGAGTCATCCAATTTATGATGCCTAGCTGTATCTACAAGGTTCAGGTTCAGTGAAAAACCCTGTCCATTTTTTTTTTTTTGGTTTTTCAAGACAGGGTTTCTTGTAGCTTTGGAGCCTGTCCTGGACCTAGCTCTTGTAGACCAGGATGGCTTCTAACTTACAGAGATCCGCCTGCCTCTGCCTCCTGAGTGCTGGGATTAAAGGCGTGTGCCACCACCACCTGGCTCTTATTTTTCTCTTGATTTCTCTTTTAATCTATGAGTTTTTTAGAAGTAAATATAATTTGGTTCCTAAATAGTTGATCATATCCCAGATACCTTGTTTGTGTTCTTTTGCTGTCACTATTTATTTGGGGTGCTGGAAACTGAAACCAGGATCCCACACATGCCAGGCAATCACTGGGCTACTGAGCTGCACTCCCAGCCCCAGGGTGGCTCTCTCTTAATTCCACTGGGATCAGAAAATGCATTTGGTTTAACTTTCATCTTTTTAAATTTCCTAACACTAATTTTATGACCTACAAAGTGTTCTATCTTAGAAGGATATACTTGCTGGTGTCGATTGGGAAATGTCTCCATGTGGGTTCAGTCAAGGAGAGCGTTGTTCCCACGCCCTGACAGATTGTCTGCTACTTGATCTACTACTATGGAGAGAAGAGGGGTGAGAGAAAAGTATTGAAATCTCCAAACAACTTGTGGCTCTGGAGCTCTAGAGTCTGAAACAGTAATGTGCAGCTGTAATCCCGGAAGCAGAGAGGACTGTCCCGAGGCGCGCGACAGCCAGCTAACCCGGCAAAGGTAGCAGTGAGCAGAAGACGCTGCCTCAAGCAAGCAAGAAGGTGAAAACCAACACCACAGGTTGACCTCTGACCTCCATGCTTGCCCACTCACGCAAACACTCATACACACAGAAACGTGCACACATGCACACACGCGCACGAGAAACCGTAGTTCTCTTTATTTCTCCTTTGTGTTTCTGAGCATCCTCAGGGCCTGGCCACATACTCTCCCAATTGGTCCAGGCTCTTCTGCAGGCACAAACCAGGCATGGGGATGTCTTATTAACTCACCAAAGACTTGAATGTGCAGTCAGGCTTGGGGAGCATTTTCTTACATAGTCCCAGTTGTATGTTGAAGAGATGGGGAAGTGAATAGTGGAATCTATTAGAAGCTGGGAACTAAACTGGGCTGTTCTAAACACGGTCTTATCTAATCTGCGTGTCTGCCTTTGAGTAGGCACTATTGACTCTCACTTTAAAGAAAATGGTTGAGAGTTGTCCAAGACACATCTGAATGGAATCTAGCTGGTGTGGAAATCTAAGTTTCCTAACTCAGCCAATCTATCACATTTGTTTCTACCCCCTCCCCCACTCCCTCTCCCTTTTGAGCTTTGTTGATTGGCTCAAAGTCTGTTTACATTTCTTTTTTCTTCTTTTCTTTTTGGGTGGTTTCTCTGTATAACAGTCCTAGCTGCCCTGGAACTCACGCTGTAGACCAGGCTGGCCTTGAACTTACAGAGATCTTCCTGCCTCTGTCTCCCGAGTGCTGGAACTAAAGGCGTGCACCACCACTGCCCTGTCCCATTTACATGTCTATCCTGATCTGCTAATACACAGTTTGGGGTTGTGGGAAGAGCCACCTCTAACCCAAACACTAATTGTTCACAGGATCTACCTTAGATTCTGTACCCTGGAGATGAACACGAAGTTTTTCATTTTTATCTTCCAGGATCTAAGTATCTTGATTCAGCTGACCACACGGTAATCATCCATCTGCCCTTTTCATGCTCCATCCATAATCTAAGATTTAAGTCAGGCTGTGATTAACCCTGACACATGGGCTCTTCTCCAGAAAACCCTTCCAGGCTACCGACTACAAAGCTGTCTCACTTGATTAAAGACTGGCTACCAGGATCGGAATTTGGCCCTGAGCTACCCTAAAAGACAAAATGATGAGAGAAGATTATCTTGGGGGAAGGTAAATGTGTCTCCTGTGTGTAAAAGCTGCTTTGTGTTACATTGTGTCTATGTGCTGTGTCTTTTGTGTCACATTGGTTTTTGTCTTGTTTTGTTTTTTGAGACAGGGTTCTCTGTGTAGTCCTAGCTGTCCTGGAACTAGCTCTGACTCTGCCTCCCGAGTGCTGGGATTAAAGGTGTGCACTGCCACTGCCCTGTGTTACATTGCTTGTGTATGCCTGTGCTGTGTGTGTGTGTGTGTGTGTGTGTGTGTGTGTGTGTGTGTACATGTTTGCGCATGTGTATGTGTTTGGGAATGCATATGTGTGTGCATGCATGTGGAGGACAGAAACTGACAAACTGACATTGGGTGTCTTCCTAGATAACTCTCCACTTTATCCTTTGAGGCAGATCTCTCACTGAGCCTGATACTCATCAGTATGACTAATTAGCTGGCTAGCCAGCCCCAGGGATCCTGCTATTACAGCCTCCCCAGATCTAGTATGGCAGATGCTCTGGCTGTTTAGACGGATACTAGGGCTCTGAGATCAGATCCTCACTGTGGATGCTAGGGCTCTGAGATCAGATCCTCACTGTGGATTCTAGGGCTCTGAGATCAGGTCCTCACCGTAGATGCTAGGGCTCTGAGATTAGGTCCTCACCGTGGATGCTAGGGCTCTGAGATCAGATCCTCCTCGTGGATGCTAGGGCTCTGAGATCAGGTCCTCCTCGTGGATGCTAGGACTCTGAGATCAGGTCCTCACCATGGATGCTAGGGCTCTGAGTTCAGGTCCTCCTCATGGATGCTAGGGCTCCGAGATCAGGTCCTCACCGTGGATGCTAGGGTTCTGAGATCAGGTCCTTATCGTGGATGCTAGGACTCTGAGATCAGGTCCTTATCGTGGATGCTAGGACTCTGAGATCAGGTCCTTATTGTGAATGCTAGGGCTCTGAGATCAGGTCCTCATGCTTGCACTTTACTTACTGAACCATCTCTCCAGCCTGGTTTGGTTTTTGGTCTTTTTTTCTTTCTTTCTTTTTTTCTTTCTTTCTTCCTTCCTTCCTTCCTTTCTTCATTTCTTTCTTTTTCCCTCTCTTCCTTCCTTCCCCCCTCTCTCTTTCTTTTTTAGATGTGTGTGTGTGTGTGTGTGTGTGTGTGTGTGTGAGAGAGAGAGAGAGAGAGAGATTCAAAGTTGTAGTATACTATGATCAATTAATTTCACCAAGGATTAACTTTTAAAAATCAGAAATGCCCATTCCTGAGAGGAGAACAGAAGAATTACAAGTTTGAGGCCAATTCGAACTATAGCCAAACCATGTCTCAATCAATCAATTCATCATTAAATCCACAATGATGTGAGTCATTCCCCTAGGTAAATTGTTCAGCGGCCTCCAGGGAGAGGGTAGGATAGAAATAAAGAGTAACTTTAAAGACCATGTTCATGTGAGGAGGTGCAGGAAATGCAGTCAGAGTTTTCTGTCCCACCAGCCAAATAACCACACAGAGACTTATTATTCATCATAAATGCTTGGCCGATCGCTTAGACTTGTTTTTAACGAGCTCTTATAACTTAAATGAACCCATTTCTATTAATCTATGTGCTGCCCCAAGCCTTGTTTACCTCATCTATGAACTTCCCATGCTGCTTCTGGCACCTCTGGCTCCCGACTCTTGTGATTCCCTGACTCTCCTGCCCAGCTCTCGCCCAATCAGCTTTTTATTAACAATGAGTGCAGCACATCTTCACCATGTACAAAAGGATTATTCCACAGCAAGGAGAAAAATGTTTGAGGTACATTTTCCGCTCTTTCTGTCTCGCTCTCCCCTGCCCCTTTTGCTCCTCTTTGTAAATATTCAGCATGAAACTGCGTCCGATTATATTTCTTGTTGAGGGTAAATTACCCAGGTAATTTGAGGAAGGAAGTGTTATTTTGGCTCACAGTTAATTATGACAAAGTTATGGTGGTAGGAGCTTCAGGCACCTGCTCATGTTGTGAAGGCAGAGAGAGATAAATGTTCGTGTTTGACTCACTGTTTCCTTTCTGTAGAGCCTAGCATCCTAGCTAGGGAATGATACCGCCCACAGTGGACACATCTTTCTACCTCAATTAACCTGACCACAATAATATCCCACAGGCCCACTCTGTCTTCCTAGATTATTCTAGATCTCATCACATTGACAACTGAGTTTAACCATCACAACACCCCACCCCCAAATTGTTTTCTTTGACCTATGACCTATTTTCTATGTATTACCTTCAGATCGCTTTACCTGGGTTACCTCATTATGAAGCAGACACCTTTTTTTTTTTGATGAAAACAAGCCCCAGCTACCCTCCTGTCTCTGTCACCCTTCCCCCACAACACTGGGTTTGTAGGCACATGTATGACCATGTTCCAATTTTTAAAGAGACGCTGGGCTCTTCAGACTTGGGTCCTCACACTTGCTCAGCAAACACTCTTACACACTGAACAGTCTCTCCAGACCTCTGTGTCATATCTTGATTGATAAAATTAGTTACAATGTATTAAGGCAAAGACATTTAAGCCAACCATGGAAGTACACACATATATATATACTCCTTGTATTCAGAAGGCAGAAGCAAGACTATAGAGAGTTTGAGGCTAGCCTAGGCTATGGGACCCTGTCTCAAAAAAGAGGGGTCCAGGGAAAGATAGTTCCTAAACCATCACTCACTCTCTGTTCTCATAACCTGGAATAGTCCAAACTATGTAAGGTTATCCCATTCTTCATTTCATTGAGACTCACATCCCTCAAAAAAAAAAAAAATCCACCCTTATCTTATATAAGAAGCCTGTGAAGAAGTCTTCAGAACCTCAAGAATCAAATCCTGGTGCAAACTAAAGACCTACCTCCTGGGACTAAGGTGCCTTAGCTGGCAACAGAGAGATACAACTTAAGCAGCAGCAGGGTTGTGGAGAGGGGTCCAAGCAAGAGAAGATGAAAACATCACTGTTACAGTTGTCCTCTGTAAATGGTTTCTGCAAGTCAGGTTAAGCGAGCCAAGTGGAAAGCCAAACACAGAACAACAGCTGTCGAGGATGTCTCTGTAGACATGGAGCTGGGTGTGGTCACCCCCGAAGCCGACTTCCACCCCACCCTATGAGCCAATGACCCGGCTGAGAAGAGAGCTTCCCATGTTGCCTTCCAGCCCTCCCTGCTGGGCTTCGTGACCATGCTAGAGACTGGCTGCAGGCTACATGATAGTACCACATAGTCCCCTTTCAAAAATATTTTCCCAGAGACACTAGACTTCCGAGAATGCCATCCAGACGGCCAAGATGCAGGAATGACCTAAAGTAGCCACTCACTCCTGACCATAGCCAAGATTATGAGGTGTGAGTCAATGCCACTATCAGTATCGAAGGGCTGAATGGAAGTGAATGTCTTCCGTGGGTCTTTCCTGCGTTGCACAAGTCAGGAGGCATCCTTTCCCTTCCACGACTTCCTAGCAGCCCTAAGTACCGCACCATGGAGCAGAGGCTCTTCATTGCTCACGTCTCCATTCTTTGTCCAGGAAACCCTGATGACTCCATTCTCCAGAAAGAATCCACCAAGCTCTCTGTGTTGAAGTCATCCTGCAAAAACTCCCTCATCAAATTCTCCACGTTTCCCTACTTAACCACAGACTCAAAAATGGATCAGATATTGACTTCTGTTTTCTTTCTCTCCTAGCTTTTTAAATCACGAAAAAAATTTCAGACCCACTCAGTGAAAAAGAAATGTACACACAAGAGACAACTCTCTTCTTCTTCCCTGTGGGTACCAGGGGTCAAACTCAGGACATCAAGCTTGTTACCAAAGTACCTTTACCCACTGAAACATCTCTCCATCCCTTAACTGAACTTTGTGTGTGTGTGTGTGTGTGTCGCTAACTGTCCTGGAACTCACTCTGTAGACCAGCCTAGTCTCAAACTAACAGAGATCCACCTGCTTCTGCCTCCCAAGTGCTGGGATTAAAGGCATGTGCTGTCACTACCCAGTTCTTAGGTGAACTTTTAAGACGCATATCAGAAATGGAGCATCGCTTCATTCATAAGTACTTCAGCATCCATCTCCAATTACTAAGGGCTTTTTCCCCTCTAACAACCTCAGCAGGAGCTACTATTTACTTAATAACAACTGGTTATCTATATTAATTCAATGAACCATGGAAACTCTTTATACTTTTTAGTTCATGAAATTTCAGTCAACAGAGCAATACTTGGGCTTATAAACTCTCCTGGCCAAAAATGCCCTGGCCCTAAGAATATTGGCATTTGAATTTTCCTAGTGAAGAGAGGGGCTTGAGCAACCTAGAGTAAGAAATAGATGGGAAGCCTACAAAGCTTGGAGCGGGAGGGGAAGGTGACCGGCAGGCAGGGAGGGACTGGCTTTTCTTCGCCCTCCTCTGAATCCTCAGGATACTTCAAAATGGCATTGGCATAACTTCCTTGTCTGCACATCTGGTGTTTTTCTTAACTACTTTATCATTTAAAGGACTATTGACAAACTCCAGGTAAAGGGAGTGCCTTAAAAACAGACCCTGTTCTGCAGAAGCATTTTGAGAAAATTCAGTATCTGTGTTCAGTGTATGGAACCAGCAGGAACTGGTCTTCACACACAGTAATCAGAGTGAAGAGTTTTTATTTTTTAATTTAATCTTTTTCTGGATCCTCGTCCTTTATAGTCAGTCTCACACTTCATCTGCCCATCTAGACTTGGGAGAATGCAGAGCAAGGCAGATTCGCCTCAGTAAAAGTGAGGCTTCAAGGTCTGGAGAGATGGCTCAGGGAGTAAAGGCTCTTGGCCATGCAAGCCTTGTGTTCGGAGTTCAATCCCTGGGACCGGCACAGTAGGAGGTGCTGACGGCCTCATGGCTCCATAAAGTTGTCCTCTGACATCCATACTTATACTTACACAGTGACATGTGCACACACACAAACACACATGCGCGTGTGCCCAAAAAATGATAATACAGTCATTTGGTTTTTGTTTGAAGTGGAAGGTCATGCTTGCTGTAATTTGCACAACAAGGCTCACATAGGAGGTTTGCAGGAAGAGGAGAGAGAAGGGCAGAGTAGGAAGCAGAGATGGGTCCCTGGGGACAAGAGTGGTAGAAGAGAAAGGGGGGGGGAGACAATGAGGGAGAGAGACGCCCGAGGTGGGCAGGCCCCCTTTTAAAAGGGAGCTAGCAAATGTGCACGAGGTGCTCTTCGTGGCTGCAGCTGAGGACGTGAGGACGTACCCCGTCAGGACCCCAAGGGCAGGCCAGTACAGATGCCTTAAATACTCGCAAATCTCACAGCTTGCAGAGAGCCTTTGCCTCAAGGGCAGGCTAATAACCCCAGCCCAAGCCACCAAGATCCCATCGAGATGTCAGGCCACCACCTGTGGCCCGGTCTTCTGACCCAGACCATCTGCCACTTGAGAGTCACACGGCACTGTGGACTTTCCCTCACTAACTCCTGTTCTTTCCTGCTATCACCTTCTTCCGGGTTCCCTTCACTTTATGCAAGAGTGTGCCAGAGGTTAGGTCACTCACACAAAGGAGCCGCCAAGAGCTGCAGTTGTGGGTGAGGGCTGTGCTGAACAAGATCGAACACAGGCTGATAAGCGGGGCCGGCATGACACCCAGGCCTCGCTAAGACAAGCTCGGTTCCTTCTGCTTTGCTTCCTCCACTAGAAACACGTTTGGGGTGTCTTCATAATTCTCCCACTTCCCACATTGCTCTTCTCAGGCACTCAATTGTTAGGTAGGGCTTCCCTGACCATCTGGCATCAGCAAACAATCCATTGCCACTGCCGAGCCCCTTAGTCTTCCTTGTCTGTCTCTATACCCCTTATCACGCATTTATTATCACCTGCCATTGCCGTACCACACCCACTCAACACACACCCAGAGTGGGATGCACACACCAAGAATTCTTGTATAGCGTGGAAGGTCTCCTTGCAGAACAAAGACTTCCTTTTCTTCTGCCAAACCAGGTCACCGGTCACGGACTGCTGCCTTGAGGAGAAAAGGCACTTTGGTGAATGCTCAGGGAGACGCAGATATGCCTTCCAGAGCCTGTGTGTGCCCCAAAGTCCAGCTGCTCTGGTGGCAAGACCTCTTTTCTAAACCTCTGTCCCCTAAGAAGGCGACAGACCGTGTGTCATTTGTTCCTGAACTTTGTCACTGCCCTGCAGCGATCTACGTGACCTTTCCCAACTGCTTGCCGTCGACAAACGTTCAGGCACGTAGGCTTTCAGAAAAACCCATCCCTCTGGAGCTGCACCTCAGAAAGGTGTTCCTTCAACAACACCAAGATTTATTACTTTCTTCCCCCACAGAAAAACCACAGGAATATTTCCTTCTTGACTACAGCAGTGAGTTCCAAGTTTCATTAAAGAACCAGCCAGATACTTCCTCCTCAGTGGCGTGGGAAGACTTTACGACAGAAAGTGTTTGAAACCTTCCCTCTGCACACCTGCCTCATAACCTCACTCTCTTTCGAAAGGTCTTCTTCTGTTTCCCCAGGGTCAGGGTTTTGTGACTGCCTCCCCTTGCAGCTGGGGCTCCGGGTCCCCCTCTCCATTAATAATAGATGGTTCTTATTGCATTGCACGCCTGCCAGAAACCAGGCATGGCAATTTACAAATTGGCTTGGTTTTTTTTTTTTATGGTGGTGGTTGTTTTTAATTTTTATGTATTGCACCAGGCGGTAGGAGCGCATGCCTTCAATCCCAGCACCCAGGAGACGGAGGCAGGCAGATCTCTGTAAATTTGAGGTCAGCCTGGTCTACAGAGCAAGTTCCAGGATAGCCAGGGCTACACAAAACTCAAAAAACACAACACAACAAAACAAAACAAATTATGCATTGCATGCAATGTGGAAGTCAAATGACAACTTTGTAGAGTTGGTTCTCTCCTACTTTTCTTTCTTTCTTCCTTTCTTTCTTCTTTCTTTTTTTTCTGGGCACTAAACTCAGGTCATCAGGCTTGTATGGCAAGTCACCAAACCAAATGGCTGGCCCTTGGCTCAAGATTTTAACCAATGTGTCTCTGCCTGGATGGTTCCCGTACTTACAGCAAAGTCTGCCTCTCTGCTTCCGCTGACACACGTCACCTTCCTCCTGTGCATTTGCAGAAAGGGAGTTGGTTTTCCATTTGCCAGGCCAGTCCCTGCTAGCCTGATCTGCTTTCACCTGCTTCTGATCTGCACGCCAGGTACTATGGACTCTGTCCTATGACTCAGGGCTGCCACCTTCCCTAGTTGTGACACTGATGGTGGCCTTAGGGCCGCATTAGACAGAATACCGATCCCCCAAGAAAGCCTACATGGCGGAACTTGTGAGTCTGTTTCCTTTAATGGATTTGGCGGACGCAATTAAGTTAAGGACCTTGAGATGGAGAGATTACCCTGGATTAGCCTGGGAAACAGGATGTAGTGGAAAGTCCTTATATGGGAAGAAGGAGAGCAGAAGAGCCAGAATCTGAACGAGGATGGCAGTGAGGCTGGAGGGGCCAAGGAATGCAGACAGTCTTTGAAATCTGAAAAGATCAAGAGAATATTTGCCTTGGGATTCGAAACTCCTGAAGAATTCTGCCCCTACTAGTGCCTCCATTTCAGGTTTTAAGACTCCGAGATAAGGAAACTAGTTACAAATGTGTTTTCCCTCACGAAGTGTGGAGTATTGAACGCCTGCAATACAGGAAACTGATAGGAAAGCCCTGGAGGGAACCCAGGCTGTTTAAAGTAGACAGAGCAGTGGACACAAGGGACAAAACTCTGCTGGGCAGTGGTGGTGCACGCCTTTAATCCCCAGCACTTGACAGGCAGAGGCAGCTGAATTTCTGTGAGTTCGAGGCTAGCCTGGTCTACAAAGTGAGTTTCAGGACAAGTAGGACTGTTACACAGAGAAACCCTGTCTCGGGGGGTACGCGGGGCAGGGGAGACCAAACTCCAAACCCTTACCTAGAAGACTACTTTTCAGTGAACCCTTGTCCCTGTTCCCCAACAGATAACCTAAAGACCCAGCTGGTATTCACCAGCTCAGTCATTGAACTCCCAGTCCCTCAGGAATGACATACATGGTTAGCTACCCCCAGGTTGAGCCATAGCAAATCTAAGGTCTCTACATCCTGTTCTTCCCAGAATTTCTCTGCCAGCATAAAGTCAAGAACATCCCCATCCTCTTAGGTTCTTCTTAGAGGCAGGAGTGGGAAAAAACAGCCACACTCTAAATCTATTAGTTATCCACTTTTGTTAAAGGGAACTATATTCAATCCTCCCATAGTAAACTACTGAGAATGGGATTTTTCTTTTTCTAATTCTAGGATGGAACTCCCAAGCCCCAAGTGCATATATGCCTTTTTAAAAAAAAATGCTTAAAAAAAATTAAAAAAAAAATTGAACCCAGGACATCTTGCACACTAAATCCACATTATACCGCTGGACAAAACCTTCAGCCAAAATACCGCTTTCTTAAATTTTTATTACATTTATTTGTTTATCTGCACATGTGTGTGTTCAGATGAATGACACAGCCTGAGCATGGAGGTCAGAGGACAACTACAGGGGGCCATCTCTCTTTCACCATGTGGGTCCTGGAATCGAACATGTCAGGTCGGCAGGTTGGCAGCAAGTAAATTTACCCATGAGCCATCTGGACAGATAATCTTATCTTTGTACTTTTTTGCTGCTGCTACTCATTTTGGGTTTGTTGTTATTTTAAAATTACATGTGTTTGTGCCCATGAGTCCGAGTACCTGTGGATGCCAGAAGAGTGTGTTGGGTATCCTGGCACTGCTGATACAGGCAGCTGTGAGTCTCCTGACTTGAGTGCTGGGAACCAAACTCTGGTCCTCTATAAGATCAGCAAGGGCTTTTAACCACTTAAGCCAGATCTCCAGCCACTGTTTGTTTTTTTTGAAGCAAGATTTTAAGCAGGCCAGATTAACTTTGAACTCAGCTATATTCCTGAGGATGACCTTGAACTACTACTGATCCTCCTCCCTCTGAACGCTAACAGGCCCTGGCATGCTTGGCTTTATTAGGTGCTGGGGATTGATCCCTATGGTGTTATGCGATTTAGATAAGTTCTCTTCTAACTGAAATACGTCCTGTTTGCTTGTGGGGTTTTTCTTTGCTTTGTTTTCTGGTTTGTTTTGTTTTGATACTGACTGTGTGGCTCTTCCTTGCCTAGAATCTACTATGTAAAGAGGCTGGTCTTGAACTCATGATCCTTCTAACTCAGCCTCCTGAGTTCTGGGATCATAGACACATACTTCCGAAACCAGGCAATAATTTTTTTTTTTTGAAGGGGAGAGTATGACCACAGTCCCCACCACCACAATTATGCAGTCAAGTTTCCTGCATTTGGGGAAATTGCGGGAGTCAACACATCCTGAGTGGAATAGCCTCGCCCTGGGTAAACCACCTTCATGATCATGATGAGGATAGGCAGTACCTTTTTAAAGCAAAGCAAACAGCACCCCTTATTTATTTATTTATTTATTTATTATTTGCCAGGAAGGGGCACATTCCTGCCGTGGCCTGAATGTGGAGGTCATAGGTCAAGGAGTCAGGTCTCTCCTCCCAGGTGGGTCCCAGAGATAGAATTCAGGCAGTCAAGCTTGGAGACAAGTGTCTGTGTCTGCTGAGCTATCTTGACGGCCCATGAACCTCTTTGTTATCAGTGGCCCTTTCCTCAGCATCATGTTTTTTTCCTTTTCTTCTTTTTTCTTTTCTATTTTTTTAAAACTAACCAAGAACCAGGGTAATCTTGGTCCAGCACCAGCACCTTGAGCTAATTACTTCAATTAAAGCAAACTCCAAACTCTGGGCATTGAGGAATTTCACAAGGAAGAATTGTTGGCTGTAGAGTCCAATTAAGCTTGCCACCATTCACTATACAATGCTGGTTGCAGAGTAATTATTGTAATATAAATAATGATACTTTTTGTATGCATTTATTGGGTGCCAGGAACTTCATTAAATGTGTTACCTTAGTTCACTGAGGCTTTACCCATGAGGTTGGGATGGTTATTATCTACATTTTACAGATGAAGAGATTGAGGGGATGGGTAGTGAGGAAACTATTTGAGGATCATACTGTTAATAGGTGGTTAATGGGTGGTGAGGTCAGGGCAGAGACAGGGTTGCCTGACAGCCACGCCCCCAGCACCTCTGCCTGCTCCCAGTGCTTGAGTGATAAAAGGCTTTCGAGTGTAATACGTTAGGTTTCCATTCCCAGTTTAAAGGCTCATGACCAATTTGACAGCTGTGGGACTTATAGATAGCTCCCCCATTCCCCACTCCTGCCCAAGACATTTTCTCTGTGTGGCCCTGACTATCCTGGAATTCACTCTGTCGAACAGACTGGCCTCGAACTCACCAAGATTTTCCTGTCTCAGTCTCCCGAGAGCTGGAATTAAAGGCATGTGCCACCACCACCCAGCTATCTTTAGATAGACTTTTAAAAAAGCAAACAAGCAAACAAAAAACCTGAAAATCTGGGAAGCAGTGTGTGTGTCTGTGTCTGTGTGTGAATTGCATCTAATTGAGATGATAAATTTGGAGATTTGTGGTTTATAGTCAAGAGCAGTGTAGAGACTGGTGGCAACATTTATTCTGAAAGTGTCGAGGACTGCCACCTCCATTTATAAGCCTTTAATAAATGAGAGTCTAAAATACTCAACTTGAATCCCAGTAGAGACTACAAGCCAAGAATGCCTGGCTTACAAAATAACGGGGGCTGACTCTTCCCGAGTTACCATGCACAGAAGCAACACTTGGCAGAATCTGAAACAAAAGATTTTGATCCTGTTCCTACCAGTGCTTCCAGAAAAGGAAGCAAAACAAACTAAACCAAACTTGGTCGCTTTATCTACTACTGAGACCCGGACCCTCTCGGGAGAGAATCCCACCCAGCTCTCTGCCCAGGAAACTCAGCCCCAAGTACCCACGTGCAGAGTAGGAAATTTCTACCCCTACTTATTTTATTTTCTGCAGTTCTATTTCTGGGGGAGAATTTCCACATATAACCCAGCTGCTGCCCTGACACCATCTTCATTGAGTAATTCATGGTGATGTCACACCAGCCAGGCGCTAAGGGAAGCCCTGCTTTTATGGGTTGGCTCTTAATTTAGGAATTTTTATTTTCTCACTTCCCTCCCTTTTTTTTTTTTTTTTTCCTCTCTCGCTGGACTGCACAGCTTTTGAGGCAAGATGCCTGAGCGGTGAAGTGTTGCTTGCTTTTGAGAGAAGGAATTCCTGCTGGTTGAGAGGCAAATGGTTGAGTGAAGGCAAAATGTTTGCCTTTAATAGAACATCTTAATTGGATAGCTGGCTCGGGAGGAAGGATGTGTGGGCCTGCTGTGGGTTCAGTTGCTCCTGGTACAGCCAGGGCTGAGATGACAAGATGAGCGGGGGACACTAGGTCTCGTAGCCACTCCCTGGAGCCTGTAGAGCCACCCGCCTCCTCCCTGGCACCTGAGGAGCTACATCTAACCCACACGGTCACCTTTCTCCCTTACTTCTCAGCTACGAGACAGCAAAGGCAAGTTTGGCAAAGTTCCCCGTAAAAGTCTAATCCAAACATCACGTCCGCTGAGCTCAGCGGGGGTGACTCATGCGCAGTGCTGTGTGAGGCCAGCAAGTAGAGATTAGGATCTGGCCCGCCCGCCAGCCTACCCTGCACTTCCTTTGATCAGCTCTGATGGGTTTGAATTCTGCAGAAGTAACATCCTGCCAGCGGCAAACAGCTTTCGGTGGAGGCTGGAGCCGCGTCTATACTGACCTACTTGTCAGAGGCCAAGCAGGCATGTGCTGATGGCACAAGAGATGGCATCCTGGCTCCCATCCCGCCCAGAGGAGAGAGGAGAGCCTCCTTCGCTGAGGTGCCCATGGTGACATCAGAAGCTTGTTCCTTGGCCAACATTAGCAAAGCCTTGGGTTTCGGCAGCCTGGGCTCGGAACCTGCTGCTGGCATTGGTGAAAATCACTAGGTAATAAAGAAAACGCCACTCTCTAGGAGGCTTTTTTTAAAGCTGGGACATCTCCAGTGTTTGGCACAAAATGAAGCTCTCTTTCTTTCTCTCTTTGGGTTCTTCAGAAATACCATTTCACATCTGTTTTGCTCAAGATGGAACACATTCGGAGTGTATTACTTTCTGGAATCATGCTCTCCCTGCTTGGTCGGAATGTGCTCGCCTCTCCATTCTTCTAAATCCCCTCAATTAACACTGCCAAGCAGAGCACCTGACATCAGGGCGTGGGCTCCTTCCACCACCACCCCCACTCCCACCCCCCCAACCCCTGTCTTCACTGGCTCATTTTCTTCTTCCTCTCTCCTCTCAGCCAACACAGCAGAGAATCCATAACTCAGGTTGTGTGCTAGAATCTCCCTGGAAAGGGGCGTGGCTTTAAGAAATCCCCATGCGCAGACTCCACCTCGGAAGAATCTGGCACCCATATTGTCTCAAACTCCCATTGTGCAGGCTGAGGTGGGAGATCGTGGAGATCACGGAGATCTAAGGTCACGTGGTATCAGTCACCTGCCTGAAGAATGGTTCTTATCTCCTATCTCCCGCTCCTCCTCTCCCCTCCATTCTGTGTTGGGGCTTCAGGGTAAATACCTCAGCTAAATTAAGCCTGGATAGAATATTTTACAGATTAGAAATTTGCTCAGCTAGAGTTTGACTGTGAAATGTGCCCGCCTGGCTGGCTCCTTTGAATACTTGGTCCCCAAATGATAACACTGTTCTAGGAATTTGTAGGACCTTGTGACATAGGGCTTTGCTGGTAGATTTCGGCCACCAAGGGCAGGGCTCAAAGGTTGTAATCCAGTCTTGATTGTGGCCCTGTTCTCTACTTCCTGGTCATCCACAAGATGAGCAAACCTGCTGCAAGCTCTTACCAACACGGACCTCCTGCGCCTTTCCCACCGGGAAAGATCGGTATTGAGCTCACGCCTTTAATCCCAAAACTCAGGGAGGCAGAGGCAAGTAGATCTATCTCTGTGAGTTTGTGATCAACCTGGTCTACTGAGCAAATTCCAGGACAGCCCCCGGTCTCAAACAAACAAACAAATGAAAAAGGAAAAAAAAAAGGCCGATATCTCTGAAACCATGATCTGACTGAAGTCGATCCTTCCTCCTTTGTTTCTGCCAAATATTGTCACAACAATGAGAAAAGTGACTGGTACCCCTAGTGAAAAGTATTTACTGGTTAAAATATATAACTCCATGGGCAGGGGTCATACCTGGAATGCACAAACAAGGCTCTGGTTTCCATTTCCTCTTACCCCCCCCTCAACACACACCCAAAGAATGAAGACAGCATGCATCCGTCAGGCATGATGGCACACGCTTGCAATCCAAGCACTTGAGAGGTATAGTCAGGAGGATCCAGAGTTCATTCAGTGTCATCCTTGGCTACACTGAATTTGAGACCAGCCCATGCTAGCTGGAGCCCTGTCTCAAAACAAAAGTTCATTTGTCTCATGGTTATGGAGGCTGGGTAGTCCCAAATGAAGGGTCTGCGTCTCATCAGGCCTCACCTGCTCTGTTACGGCAGGGCAGAAGGTATCACATAGAAAAAAACGAGGGAGATTGAGAACCCCTTGAGACAGGATTTCTCTGTGTAGCCCTGGCTGTCCTGGAACTCACTCTGTAGACCAGACTCACAGAGATCCACCTGCCTCTGCCTGCTGGAATTAAAGGATGTGCCGCTGCCACCCAGGAACTCCTTCCTTTTCCAGTAAGATTCTCCCAAGGAAGGAAGCCACCCCTGTGCCGCACCAAGGATTAAACTTTCCACACATTAGCTCTGAGAGGACACATTAAAACCAGAACCATCTGAAAGTTCCAGTTGCGGACGGATTGGGGGTGGGGGACATGCTTGAGAGGAGGCTCTCTGGTAGCTAATGGGATGGTAGATGTCATCGTGGTCACGCACCTGCCCACACCCCTTAGGGCCTTGGGGGTGGGTGGGGAAACATGTGGGCATTTGAGATTGTCCCATCTGAAATGCCCAGATCAGTCCTACCCGATGAAGGAACAACCTCACTCAGGCAACAGCTTCTCAAAAGGGCCCAGAAATTGCCCCCCCCCAATAGATTCAACCAGATAAAGTTTTTGTCTTCCTGTGGTTCAGGGCAAACTGCACGGCAAGTTCAGTGAAATTAGCCCGTGAGGCTAAGCACTTCCCTAACCACTATCTCCCCCCAGAAGCCTTCTTTGACTGTCCACTCTTCATGGACCTATCGTCTCAACCCTTAAAACCCCATTTCTTCTCATTTAATACTTGCATACAGTCTGCTAATAATTCTGTGTGTACTGGTCTGTGAGTTCAGCTCTCCAGCCAGCCTGGGTACAAACATAGAGGGCATTCAAGTTCCAGGTGACCAAGGTCAGGTTTCAGATTTGTTGGTTGTTTTGGTGACTTCATACTGCTTGATTCCTTTTATTTTATTTTTGTTTTGTTTTTTATTTATTATTATTATCATTGGTGTGTGTGTGTGTGTGTGTGTGTGTTTGTCTTTGTTGCACATGCCACAGCCTATGTGTGCTCAGAGAACAACTTCATATAGTCAACCTTCTCCTTCCACCTTTGAGCATGTTCAGGGGGTTGAACTCAGGTCTTCAGGTTCTCAAGGCAAACATTTTTTTCCTACAAAGTCCTCTCCATGACCCACTGCTTGTTTCTAATATATAGATAGATAGATAGATAGATAGATAGATAGATAGATAGATAGATAGATAGATATAGATATAGATATATAGATATAGATAGATATATACACATACATTTTATATATTATATATACATATATAGTATGGTCAAATGAAAAAATGAAATATGCAACTAGATAAGACAGAGATGAAAGGCAAGATGAGGAACCATATAAAAGAAGCCAAAGAGACTGAGAGATAAGTTTATGAATGGATTCTAAATTGAAGTCTGGGCTTCTTGACAGTTAAATAGAAACCGGAAACGCCAGTGGTTATGTCATGGCTGCTGTCTGAAGAGAGGAAGCAAGATCAGCTCCTGAGGAAATGCACTCTTTTCCTCCTGGTCAGCTCTGGATGAAATGTATCAAACCCTACAAGTCAAGACTGAGCAAAAGCAGATGGGGTCTTCAGGTGAGTTAAAGGCACTGAAAAGTGGATCTGGGGCAGGCAAGACAGACTGGCAGGTTCAGGTGCTTTGCCATCAAGCCTGGCTATTTTGAGTTCAATTCCTAGCACCCACATGGTGGAAGAACTAATTCCTCTGACTCCCCTGTATAGGTTATGGCACTTGTGTGCATATGCACACTAAAATAAAGTAAAAAATGTAAAGAGAGAGAGAGAGAGAGAGAGAGAGAGAGAGATGAAATTTTTTTCCCCCTGATTTGTTGTTGTTCTTTTTTCTGAGACAGGGTTTCTCTGTGTAACAACAGTCTAGCTGTCCTGGAACTCACTCTGTACACCAGGTTGGCCTCAAACCCACAGAGATCCACCTGCCTTTGAGTACTGGGATTAACACCACACCCGGCTCCTGATTATTTACATCTACCTTCTAAGAGATTCAGACTGAAAGCCCTGAACTTTGACTCACTAGAGGCATTCTTTTTGTTTTGCTTTGTTTTGTTTTTTGAGACAAAGTTTCGTTGTGTAGCCCTGGCTGTCCTGGAACTCACTCTGTAGACCAGGCTGGCCTTGAAATCACAGAGATCTGCCTGCCTCTACCTCCCTAGTGCTGAGATTAAAGGTGCATGCCAGTACTGCCTGGCTGTAAGAGGCATTGTTATGACTTGTTTTCTTGTATCTAAAGGTGGTCTCCAACTAACTATGTAGCAAAAGCAGGCCTTGAACTCCCAATCTTCCAACCTCTACTTTCCAAGTTGATTGGACTATTGAACTAAGCTAAAATATTATGAATGTATCTACTTCTTTTTCTTTCTTCCTTCCTTCCTTCCTTCCTTCCTTCCTTTTGAAACAAGGTTTCTCTGTGTAGTTCTGGGTGTCCTGGAACTCATTTTGTAGACCAGGCTGGCCTCAATCACCGAGATCTGCCTGCCTCTGCCTCCCGAGTGCTGAGATTAAAGGCATGTGCCACCACAGTTCCACTGCCCAGCTAAATGTATCAGTTTCTAAGGATATTGTTTTTAAAGGTTTGTTCAAACTTTAGTTGTCTAGAGCTTTTTTTTTTTAAATGTTTATTTTCTATCCCTGTGTGTAACATGAGGGCCGGCTTGTTGGGGTATCTGTTCCCGCCCAGTACCCCACAACCGGAAAACCCCAAAGAAAATCACAGACGGGACTCCATAAGGTTATAAACTGATTGGCCCATTTGGTCAGGCTACTTATTAGCTCTTATGACACATATTACCCCATTATCCTTATCTACGTTAGCCATATGGCTTGGTACCTTTTTCAGCTGGGCAGGTTACATGTTGCTTCTCTGGTGGTCTGCGCAGGCGTGACCGAGGGAGCTTCCTGTGTCCCAGAATACTCCCAGTCTCTTTGCTCCACCCCTACTTCCTGTCTGGCTTTCCCGCCTATACTGCCTGCCTGGACAATCAGCGTTTTATTAAAATATGATTGACAGAATACAGATACTTCTCCCGCGCCACCTGTGTGCATTTGTATGCCACAGCACTCGTGCAGAGGTCAGAGGACAAGCTATGGGAATCAGTTCTCTCTTACCATGAGGGCTGCAGGGATGGGACTGGGCTCAGGTGGCTTTATCCACTGAGTCATCGTGCCAGGCTGGCGACTGCCCAGAGTTTAAGGAAAGCCTGGGTATGCATCTCTTGGATGAGGAGAGGGTGGGCTAGAGGGGGAGCTCTGTGTATGGCGAAGGGAAAGGGAAAAAAAATGGGAACAGATCATTCCACATGCCATCCTGTCATCTTCTTAGGAACCAGACAGGATTATCCACTCTGCCCGGAGGCCACTTCCCCAGCCACATCCCCAGGAAAGGGAGAGAGGGAAACAGTGTGTCACCAAGGGCCCAGCCCAGAGTAGAATCCTGAGAATGGCTAGCGGACAGCCTGGGCCTGTGGATCATCCTTTAATGAGTGCTACACTTTTGGTTAGTTGTTGGTCTCGCTTCCAAAAGTCAAGTAACAAATAATTAGATGACTCAAAAAAGACTTTCCATTTTTGATTTTATCTGGAACCTTTAAAGAAAAAAAAAACTTTTTTTGTGGATAGGAGACCCAAACAAATAAGCAACAGAGTGTTGTTTTTTAATCTCTAGAATTTTAGACAGTATCATTGAGGAAACTGGCCTGGGACTCTGGGGCCCAGGAGCTATGGGTAGCATAAGTCCCTCTTCCTGCCCATTCATTCCCATCCCAGGCCCCAGGGTGGAGTGACCAGCAGAGGCAAGCTCTAATGACCAACCAAATATCCAGGTCCATAGATTATTAAATGTCTAAGCAGTGGGTCTGAGATGAGAGGTCAAGGTTAAAGGTAGAAGCCCCTGACACAAGCTTCTGACTTCTTTGGTATTGGGATGACAGCAGCTTCCATGTACTTCCTACTGGGGTAGGAAGGGTGGTTAGAGCAGGCAGGACTGGTACCTGTGTGGGTCAGGGGCATCTGAGACTCCCGAGCTACCTGTCCTTGCTTCTCTGGGGCTGGGAGATGATTCTTGTAGAAGAAGGGAGCAAAGCAGAAGTTTATCTCCCCTCTTCTAGGAAGTCAGCTTGTTGCCTAGTGAGGTTACTTCTGGGTCAACAGGAACTGGGTTTAGTACTCGAATATGTATCCTGGACTCATTTCCAGTTCTCTGGTAAGCCAGCATCAGAGACTCAGCCCCCTCACCCCATCCCTGCTTTCCTGGAATTAGGGGAAGGGGATTTATCAGGACTGTGCTTGCATCTCAGCTCTGAACTCCCTCCAAGCCCTGATTAGAACATTTGCCAGTTTGTGAATCTTAATTATCTAAGAAAGAATCCCAGCCAAGATACAGAATCAGACTAGATGTCCGCCAACAGAATAGACAAAGAAAATGCATGGGGCAGGCGAGACAGCTCAGCGTGCCTGCCTGATGACCTGCGTTCTAGCTCCGGGATCCACATGGTGGAAGGTGGAGAGAACCGGCTCTCACAAACTGTGCTCTGACTCCCACACAGGTGCCACAGCGCACGTGCCCCACACCCACACCTCTCCTCTTGCAGAGGACCTCAGTTTGATCGTTAGCACCCACATGGGGCAGCTCACAGCCATCTATGAGTCCAGCTCCAGGGCCTCCAGCATCCTCTTCTGTTCTCCTCAGGCACCCACGCACACATGCTATGCACACCCAATCAAAACAACAAAAATACACCTTTTTAGAGCCCCACCAAGTAAATAAATTAATAAATTCAGAAGGGGACAACTTTTTCCAGCGGGAGGAAAGATAAGAGAAGACAACGGGAGGTTGACTGTGGAAAAGTACAACAAAAAGTCATATTTACCTGCTAAGTAAAAAATAATAGATTAAATATGAAGAACCTCAAGGCTGGGAGTGTACGTCAGTTGCACACTGCTTGCCTGGTATGCACAAAACATTGTGTTCTATCCTCAGCATCCAGAGGGAACCCCACATGTCAGATGAGCTTTCTCTGGTTTTCTTTACTAGAAGGAGCTGGGTGGATAAGCAAGACTTGGCCAAGCAGGTGTCCCATTCTGACCCAAGCAGGTCAGAATGATCAGCACCGTCCAATAGAAAGCCTGGAGACTCTGTAAGAACAGTGGTGTTCATGGTAACACCCAGGGAAGCTGGTGGCAGAGCAACCTATGAGACAGCACCAGTCTCTGTGCCCTGTGACAGCTCTTACATCCTCTTCTGTAACCATACCTATGGACTGTGATCCTCCGTTTCTGGTTCCCGTGTTTGCTTGCTTGCAGGCTTTGTTGTTGTTGTTACTTTTGTGTTATTGCTGTTAATTTTTTTTTAAATAGGCTCTCATGTACCCCAGGCTGCTTTTGAACTCTGTGTAGTTAAGGTAGCTAAGGAATACTCTGAGATCTCCCTGCCTCCACTTCCCAAGAGCTGGGATTATAGGCATGAATTACCATACCCAGTTTATGCAATGCTGAGACCTGACCCCAGAGCCTCAGGCATGCTAGATTAGCATTCTGTCCACTGAGCCACATCTCCGACTTTGAATTTCTAATTCTCCTTTCTCCACCTCCAGAGTGCTGGATTACAAACAGGTACCACCAGGCCTGGTTTATGTAACACTGGGGGTTGAACCTAAGGTTGTGTTCATGTTAAGCAAACGCTGTATCAGCTGAGCAATATCCTCAACATATTTTCTGAGTCAGTTCTAAGCTTCCTATGATTCTGAGTTGTCCAATAGTGTTAGAAACAAATTGCTTAAGTCAAGCTGGTTTCTGCTGCTTATGGTAGCCAAAACCTCTGACTCTGACAGTATACATCTGGTTTGGTCAATCATTTTATTCATTTCCTACATTCTTTTGGCCTTTGCCCTCTCGACAATGCTATAAGTAATCCAGACAAGAAGGAACGAGAGCTCAGAAAGTTTGACCACAGCTGGGATATGAGCCAGAACACCCGAGCATTCAAGCATCAGGTCCCTTACTTTTTTAGGTTGTGGTGAATATATGATGAAGGGGACAGAAGGCTGCAAGACATCCAACATCTCCTTAAAAATATCTTAACAGCTGGGCAATGGTGGCTCATGCCTTTAATCCTTGGACTTGGGAGACAGAGGCAGGCAGATCCCTGTGAGTTCAAGGTCAGTCTGGTCTACAAAGTGAGTTCCAGGACAGCCAGAGCTACATAGAGAAACCCTGTCTCATAAAAACAAAACAAATACACTATATATATATATATATATATGTGTGTGTGTGTGTGTGTGTATGTATATATATATATACATACACACACATATATATATGTATGTATGTATCATAGAGGCATATGAATCTCTGAGTTTAAGGCCAGCCTAGTTGAGTTTCAGGACAGCTAGGGCTGTACAAAAAAAATTCCTGAAAAAAAATCAAAACACTAAAATAACATTAATAATAATAGAAATATCTCTAATGCGGTTATAACATGTTAATGATTTTCCACAGTATTTAAAGATCATGAAAGTCTGGAACAAGTTTCCCTTGTCTTCCTGAGTGCCTAGGTCATTTGAGAGACAGAGTAAATAAACTAGAAGGGCAGCGACTCGGGGAAGAGAAACTTAATATAGCCTTAATGTCTCTTTATAAAAAGAATTGTCTCAGCTACGTGAGAGCTAAAGATTAAGGCCTGTGAGCAGAGCCAGTGCCTCGGATTTGCAGGTGTTGATTGAGCAGTGAAAGTCTGAAGCTTTCGCCATCAGACACTCAGCAGCAGAGAGGCTACACTCCCGAGTAGGCAGAGCTGACTTGGGTCCAGCCCAGACAGCGTGCCAGTCCATTTCTTCTTGGAAGGGGGCCCCAAGAATGCCTGCAAGCTGAATCGAGATGCTCTCCAAAAAGTGTTTGAATCTGTTTCAACGGTATTGGCAGACTGCAAAGAGGCCGTCTGCATCTAGAAAGCCAAGCACAGCGTTCCAGCTACCTTGACCGGCAGAGTGTCAGCCCACTACTTGTAGTAAGCCTGGCTCAGAAAAGAACTCTTACTTGAAATTTGCTTTAGCAGGGCGGGGGCAGTATCTTGCTCTGTAGCCCCAAACGGATCCTGTCTCCACCTCCTGAGTGCTAGGATTACAGAGGTGTGCTTGTTTGGATCTGGGTCTTCAAGCATGCATTTGTTATAAACTGAGACAGGTATTAATTCTTTTTTTGTTTGTTTTGCTTGTTTGTTTGTTTGTTTTTCAAGACAGGGTTCTCTGTGTAGCCCTGGTCATCCTGAAACTCTATTTACAGACCAGAATGGCCTTGAATTCAGAGATCCACCTGCCTCTGCCTCCGGAGTCTGGTATTAAAAGTGTGCACCACCACATTTGAATTAGGTACTAATTCTTGTTTAAGGGATTAGGTAGTGAAAATTTAATTTTTTTATTACATTTATTTGTATGTGTACAGATGTGAAAGTCAGAGGGCACTTATCAGAGTTGGTTCTCCCCTTCTAGTGTGTGGGTTCTGGGGCTCGAACTCAGGTCATCAGGCTTGGTTGCAAGGGCCTTCACCCACTGAGCCATCTCACCAGCCTTTTATAAATTCTCACTTTCTGGTTTTAACACCCCTGCTGTTGCAGGTGAAGTTTACAGGACCCCACACTCCAATTTCTTATCTGAAATGTGACATTTCTAGTATCATGTTGTCCTTCGAAACGTCCTACAGTCTAAGTTTGTATTTGGCCGCAGTAGAAACAAACAGCCCTCAGTGTGGCCACCATCTTGAAGCACCCAACCTCTCTTCTGGGAACTTCCTCAAGGTCAACTGAAGAGCTCACAGTGTTCAACTCAAAAGGCAAACCATGTTGGCATCCTTTAAGTGGTAACCCTATAGCCCATTACAGAACACCCCCCCACACCGGCCTTTTTAACTGATGGCAGAGCTGTCAAGAAAGTCACCTTGTAAGCTTGTAAGCGAAGCATGGGATCTTTCTCCCAATGAGCTACACCCCCCAGCTATGTTAGACACTTCCAACTGCTTTCCAAGGAAACAACACCCATCCTGGGTTTATTTTCAAATTCCCATTGATGAGCAGGAGATGGCTAATGTGACCTTTCCCACACCATCTGTTAAGTATTTTACACGTTTCAAACCAATATGAGGACCCAGTGACAACTGCTTGTCCTCTCTGAGGATGCCGTAACTCCTTTCGTCCAGGGTTTCCAGATACAAGCAGATTTAGGGAGGGAGGACCCATAGGAAAAGTAGGCAAGGATGGTCAGTTTATTTCCTCCGCTTCTTCCTTGGGAAGAGGTCAGCCATTTCCAGAGTATAGGGCAAAATAGAGAAGGGAGTGATGTAAATCTCAGCAGTGGGAGCAGAGAAAGGAGCCGGAATGGCAGCAGGCGTTGAGGCTTAGCTGCCAGCAATAATCCGATGCCCTGCATCACTGTGGGGAGAGGAGCCAAGACTTCCCAAATCCAGGCGCCCTAACAGGATTGCAAAAGACACACCCATCGGCCCACAGACAGACAGCGCTGCCCAGAACCCGTGAGACACCTTGGGAAGCTGCCCACGTTCCTGGAGACCTCCCTGTAAAAGCTGCCTTTGTCCAAGACGGACGATTGAACCCCCGGCCTGGGGATGCAGAGCTGTTGCACAGGACTGGAAGGGGGCGGGTGTTTTTGATGAGAGCTTCCTTGCAGAAATGTCCTCCGCTTTGTTGCAGGGCTAGCCGCCAGTTCTTCCCCGGGTGGCAGCAGGCAGGGCCGACTGAGCAGGCACGCAAAGGCGCTGGGAGAGCTTTGATGTCAACAGAGGTAGGCAGGGCAGGCCCCAATGGAAAACTGTGAAGTCAGCAGAGTTATCTCTGGCACTACTCCCTTTTCTAGCTTCCCATTTCTCCACCCATTTCCCCCTCTCTGCTTCCAGCTTCTCATTTCCCAGGAGGACCCTGGAATGTATGAAAACCCGCTGTCACCAGATAGGAGCGCCCCCTCCCCCAACCCGGACTCCAGGCTGCAACTATCGCAGTCTGCTCCCTCCCCAAGACTAAAACAAACAAAGGCGCGCGTTCCAGGTCCCATACATTTCCTAAGAAAGCCAGTGCAGAAGCCCTGCCCTTGGTGCGCCCACAGTTAAACCCTGAGGAGTTTGGGGCCTCAAGTTTGAAGTGGTCTTTCTGTCTCCCCGGGCTTTAGAAGGACTCCAAAGTGTCTCAGACCAACACAGCTGCTTGGTGGATGGCTCAGATTTAAACCACAAATTATAAAATGATAAATTCGCTGCTCAAGTCTCTTCCAGGAAAGACCATGTTGTCAAGATACAGTTACAACCTCATGGACATCGGAGCCCGTCTAGTTGCTGACTAATTCTCACACCCAGTCTCCTGCCTGAGAGTCTCTCTCTATGTCTCTCTCTATGTCTGTCTCTGTCTCTGTCTCTGACTGTCTGTCTGTCTGTCTGTCTCTCTCTCTCTCTCTCCCCCCCCCCCCCCTCCCTCCCTCCACTGGCTTTCTCTGTTTCTGCCCGAGTGACCTTGGGGGCTACTCAGTCCTGGACTCCCGACCTTTATTATATAATGGCTGCTTTCGTTTTGTGAGCAAGGAAGTTTAAGAAAGAAGCATTTTTGTTCTTGGGCACTTAACTGCGGAGAACAGTGAGAAAGGGCTTCACGTGGGCAGCTGCGAGCACTTCAAACACGGGCTGGAATGTGAAGTCTGTAGTAAAACAGAGCTGCTGAAGAAATTTGGGCCCTAAAGTATCTGTTCTGTGATCTGTGCAAGATTGCAACATGAGTTCACTCTACTTTGGAATTCTCTGGGTCTGTTCTGGCGACAGAATGGGACAAGTAATTAGGCCACATGCATGCCTTGTAATGAGTTCCCTGCTGGAGTTTTGGCAAACACAAGGAGAGACGAGACAAATGATTGTCCAAGACGGTGACCTGACCTCCTTGCAGACTCAGTCACACTGACCTCCTTTTGATTACCTGGGGCTGCGGGAAGCTGTTCCATCACGCTTCCAGCTTCTCCGAACACATTGCCTCAGTTACACAACCGTGACGGTGTTTCTCCAAGGCCACTCCAGCTGAGAGGACCAGCAGGTCGTGAGTCATAATCACTTCAGCATTTTCTCCCAGATTCGCGTCCTGTTGATTTTACACTTTAGGTCTCCCATCCTCCTTGCCCTGGCGTCCTTGGGTCCTGGTGCTCTCCAGTGCCTCTCCGTGTTATCGGCCACCCCACCCACTCCAGGCGCCACCACAGCGCTGCTCTTGTTTCTGCTTTTCCTGAAGTCAGCCCTGCTGTCATTACTGCTGCTTTTTCTGGGATCCTTCAAGTTGTGGAGAGAGTTCTTTTCCTGTGATTATAGCTCTTTCTTCCAATTTTGACTAGTCTGGCGTCTCTGTGATTATAGTTCATTAGAACTCCCGAGGCTAGAGAAAGAAACGCTTTTAACGCTATCTTGCTTGTATTTTTAAAATAACATTTATTATACCTTATTATTATTTTTTTTTGCAGTGAGCTATTAAAAAGAAATTCTCGGTAGTGGTTTTCAGTCCCAATAACCCTTAGCAGCATTTTTAGAAATAAAAGTAATACACACATTGGCTAAAGACAAAAATGGTAAAGAAAAAAGGGGTAGGTAAAGGAAAAAATAAAAGCTCCCTCAACAGTTGATGGTGGCTCATGCCTTTAATCCCAGCACTCAGGAGGCAGAGGCAGGCAGATCTCTGTGAGTTCAAAGCCAGCCTGGTCTACAAAGCGAGTTCCAGGACAGTCAAGGCAACAAGGAGAAACCCTGTCTCAACAAACCAAAAAAGAAAGGAAGGAAGGAAGGAAGGAAGGAAGGAAGGAAGGAAGGAAGGAAGGAAGGAAGAAAAAGTCTCCTCTTCTTCAATCTCTTCTAAAAGCATAGCCACAGTGCTATTTTATTATTAATTTTATTATTATTATTTGGTTTTTCAAGACAGGGTTTCTCTGCAGCTTTGGAGCATGCCCCAGAACTAGTAGATCTTGTAGACCAGGCTGGCCTTGCACTCATAGTGACCCAGCTGCCTCTGCCTCCTAAGTGTTGGGATTTAAAGGCATGCACTATTACTGCCCAATTATATTATTAATAAAAGTATATTATTAATAAAAACAATATCATATTATTATAGTTTGTGCATGTCCTCTCAAAACTTTACGTGAGATTCCTCTATATTCATTACTCTGCATTTCACTTTCCAATTGAAATGTAGGACGGAGATAAGTATTTGTAGCATAATTAATAAAAACCCAGAGTCAGATATTGGGGTTCAACCTAAAGGTCAGAAAAGTAAAACAGCCAGTCACCGGCTCTTACCTCTACCTCAGTCCGTAATGGTGATTCTGCCTCCAGGAATCCTCAGAATGAGACTGTGTCTGAGAGCTGTCTCCCATTTTCCATTCCTCTCTAGGACTGGGATTAAAGGCATGCATCGCTATCGCCTGGTTTCTGTGGCAAACTAGGATGGCTACTGGGATTAAAGGTGTGTGTTCTGGATGTTACAGACTACTTAGTCTGTAAGGATGACCAGTGTGGCTGTTTTACTCTCTGATCTTCAGGCAAACTTTGTTCATTAAAACACAAATGAAATATCATTATAAGTATTACCTTCAATTTTTATATTGAGGGTCCTCAAATGAAAACTGTTAATGAGCTAGCCCAGACCACTAGAACTAGTAAGAGCTGAAGTAGTGAGCTAGCCCCAGACCACTATAGTAACTAGTAAGAGCTGAAGTCATGTCATGTCTCTGAGTTCAGAGACTGTTTCAGCCACAGACAACAGAGTGCCCTATGGCTTCATCTGACATTTGAAAATGTGTGGCAACTTTTTGGGACTCCATACAAATACATGTACATGTATAGTACATGTGACATGCATGGAACACACAGAATCTGCAAACACACTCAGTCCAAACTGCAATCCAAACCCCAGCTGTGTGTCTTTCCAACCAGGTGATGTGCAACTCAGTCTTTTCATCAGCAAAACAGGGGTGTTAAAGATCAGGCTATTTAATTTTGTAAAGCTATAAATACTACGTGACATCAAGTGAGCCACTAAATTACTAAATCAGATGAGTTCATTTACTTTACAATTATTTTTGATTCCAAAAGTATAAATCTGCATTGGTATCGTTGTAAAACAATTCCAACAACATACAAGTATACATCATAAAAAGTGAAAGTTTTAGGCTGGAGAGAAGGTTCAGCAGCTAAAGGCCAAGGCTCAAACCCAAAAGGATAAAAAGTGAAAGTCTCCCTTTCATCTCCAGATGAAAGGTCCCCTTGGGGGGGGCACTGCTTTTCTATGTGTGTAGATCATTGGTTTTTTTATTCTTCAGAGATGGGTGTTTTAGGTATCCCAGGCTAGCCTTGAACTTGATATACAGCAGCAGTACTCCTGACCCTCCTGGCAATGGGATTCCAGATGTGAACCACGATTCCTGATTTAAGGAGTACTGTGGATTGAACCCAGGACTTTGTGCAAAGAAACGTGAGTTCTCTGCCAACTGAATGCGCTGGCAACCCATGCACCCCACTTTATTTGTACGTGACTCAGCACCCCGCTAGGAGGCTACCTTAAAATAGTGATTAATTAATGGATGCCAGAACAAGACTGACCCGGTACAGGCTCCAGCTCAAGACTCGATTTTCTTAATTTCTATAATGAAAAACAAAGATGTCTTCTTAATATGGACAGTAAGTGTTGCAGATGTAAATCTCTTAAAATGTTGCCTGATGCACAGAAAATTGTAAGTAAATATTAGTTCCTATAATAGTCTGCACACACACGGTGGTGGTTTGCTGTTTGGATACTTAGTCCCCAGATGGTGAACTGTTTGAAAAGTTTGGAAGGATTAGGGGGTGTGGTCTTATTGGAGGGAGTGTACCACTCAGGGTGTGATCTGAGGTTTCAAAAGCTCAAGCTGGGTTCAGTGGCTCCCTGCCTGCTGCCTGTGGATATGGACATACAGCTCTCAGCTACTGCCCAGTACCACGTCTGCCTACATGCTCCATGTTCCCCACCATGATTGAAAATAGACATAGCCTCTGAAACCGGAAGTAAGCTCCCAATTGAATGCTTTCTTTTATAAGAGTTACTTTGGTCATGGTGTCTCTTCATAGCAATAGAAATCCTAACTGAGACACATGCTATACTGGGATTTACTTTCTCTTAATATAATTGGTTTTCTTTTTTTTTCTTTTTAGTTTTTCGAGACAGTTTTTCTGTACCTTTGGAGTGTGCCCTGGAACTCACTCAGTAGACCAAGATGACCTCGAGCTCACCGTGTTCCACCTGCCTCTGCCTCCCAAGTGCTGGGATTAAAAGCTGTGCACCACCACTGTCCAACTTGTTTTACTTCTTAAAGGCTTTAAATAAATATTTACTTATTTAATTTTGTGTGTGTGGATTTTCTTGCACGTATGTATTATGTACACTGAATGCATGCCTAGTGATGAGACCAGAATAGAGCATCAGGTACCTTAGTACTGAAGTTCCAGATGTTTATGGACTTCCATTGGGTGCCGGGAACTGAACCTGGATCCTCTGGAAGAGCAGCAAGTGCTCTTAACCACTAAGTCATCTCTCCAGCCCAGATGATGTCTCATTCTAAAAGTGGTGATAGTACTTCATACCACAACCACTCTGATTTATTTAAAATATGTCTCTATTTGGGGTTGTTTCTAGCATTTGGATCCTTTCTCATTTGAGGATGAAATAGAATTCTAGGGTTGGTCACCAGCCATAATAACTTTCTACTTTATGTATATAACAAATGCATTGTTACCTTGCATACATAACCCTTGACCATGGCAGCAACATATGCTCATAACCAGCAGGTAAAAAGAACCTGTTGATAGTTGAAGAGTTGATAGTTGAATCCCAGATCATACTCCCCATTGCTAGATGAGCAAACATAACTCATATAATAATACTATTAGAACAAGGATTATTTCATCACTGTCATTACAGGCAGGGAAACTGAGGCATACAACAGTTGATTGACTTGTCAAAATTGCTCAGCTAGGAGGAAGAGTGCTGAGACTCCAACCCCTGCAGTCCACTTCCTGAGTCCACACACTCCTTGGAGTTTTTGTTGTTGTTTTGTTTCATTTTGTATTGTCTTTTTGGTTTTTTTTTGGGGGGGGGCCGGGCGTTCAACCCAGGGTTGAACAACCTCTGGCTGTCCTGGAACTCGCTTTGTAGACCAGGCTGACCTTGAACTCCCCAAGTGCTGGGATTAAAGGTTTGTGCCACTGTTTGTTGTTTTTTCGGACTGGGTCTCACTTTGTAGCCCAAGATGATTTGGATGTGCCAACCTTGAGCGTCCCAAATGCAGGGTTCCAGGCATGTACCAACTACCACACTCAATTGAGTCCATACCCCCCTCCTTTTTTAGACAGGGTTTCACCATGTCGTTCTGGCTTGTATAGGACTTAACATGAAGACCAGGCTGGTCTACAATTCACAGAGGTCTGCCTGTCTCTGTTCCCCACTGCTGGGATTAAAGGTGAGTGCCACCAGCTCAGTACTTTGTACTTCTCCCAAACCTGTGGCTTTCACTTCATTGAAACTCCCAAGCCTCATCCTGTCACATTTTACATCCGTCTTATGGATGAGAACTCAGCTTCTTTGGATCTATTTAGGAATCTAAATAGTAAGTAGCCCAAAGGCACCATGACTGCTACATCAACAGGACTCCTCAGATGTCCAAGAGCCAGCCTGTCTAAGGACTGTTACTGAGGACAGACAGCCACTCTGAGAAAGCCCTATGGTTGTCCCAGTGCTTGCCTTCAGAACGCTCGCTCTAAGACTAAACTCTCAGTTCTGTGTCTTGTGCTACACTGGACAGCTTGTTGCTGAGCAAACTCCATGCAAGGCAGCAGGCAGCCAGAAAGTAAAGAAACGATTGTGTTGCAGTTGGGTGGAGAACAATGCATTGAACTACCAATTAGGTAGTTCAAAACTCCTGAAAATAACCTGATTTTTATTTTCCTGATTGTGCTGGGGCTGAGTCTTTCACAACTGACTTGGTCAACTCCTATTCCTAAAATACTAAGGCTCAGGAGTTTGCTCAAAAAAGTTTGCTAGTCAAATATGAAATAAGTCTCTAGTCTCTATCTCAGTTCCCATGCCCACCCTCTAGCGCTGTTAGCTTTTAGACATATGTACTAAATGCCTTTTCGTTTAAAGATATGACGGGGATATTTCCTTTGGCATGTGCTCCAACAACCTGGGAAGTGCACACTTGACATTAGCCACAGGAAAACATTTTTTTAAGAAAAAAAACCTTGAAGGAACAACAAAAAAGCAAAGAAAGGAAAACTATGAACTTACAATCTTTAGAAATCAAGACAGCTCTCCACATGGAAGACTTTCATGAAACTCTGTGGGTTAATGTTTTTCATTGTTAATGGAAAAAATATAAACATCTATTCATAATAAAACATTCTGGAAAATTGTTTTAGTAATGATAAGAGTGTGTACTTTATTTCAAAAGCCACTCCTCATCCTAACATCCTAAAGCCTGCATTTCCCCCCTAAAAATAGCCTCCTATCTCTGGATTATGTTCCTACAGAAAGACAGTGGGGCAGGCCAGTCTTCCACCCATGCCGAAGCTTGAGTTTTGGCTTGTGGAGCTTCCTGTCCTGCTCCAGCTGTGACATGTTAAAGGAGTCTTGGAAATTATGGACCTTGCTGTTCTCTGTGAGCCTTTGCCATGGCTCTGGCTCTTTGGATTTTAGGAAGTAGAATAGGAGTGGAGAGGGCAGGGGAAGCCTCGATTTAACGGAGAAGGGGGCTTCTAAGGGGCCAGTTTCTATTTCTAGCTGTTCACAATAACCAAGTGAGGAACTTGCCTTACTCTGTGTTTAATCCAACCTCGATCACAGGGATGTAGTTGAGCAACGCATGGACTGGGCTGGGATAGGACAAAGGGCTTGACTTACCTTTGATCACATGACATAAAGCCAAAGATCAAATACAAGGAGCTATGTCCTAGCAGAATTGCTAGAACCAAAGTCAAGTTGATTGCAAAATTCGTGATTCATTTTCACTTAAACATCAATTGAGGGAAAAAAAAAAACAATCCTAGCGTAGTGATACACACCTGTAATCCTAGTACTTGGAAAGTGGAAACGGGAAGATGGAAGAGTTTCTTGTCATCTTAAGCTTCACAGTGAGTTTGGGGCCAGCCTGGGCTACCTGACACTTTCAAAGCAACACAGCAAATGAGCCACTGTAGCCTCCTGTCCCAGTCTCTTCCAGAAATGTCTCCTAGTGGACACTGCTATAACCTTTGTCTCCTGCTAAAGGAGTGGAACCAGCAGTCCTGTTTTACGTCTTGTGGTCCTGGTAAGATTTCATGACTAATAGGACCTGATTCTAGGGCAGCCAGTCCCTAGACTGCGTAAGTTTGTATGGTCTGTGGCTAGGTCTAACAGCACGCTGGGACCAGCTATTATCCTGCCTGTTGTGCTCTTCACACACATACTTAGTACATATAGTACTAAATAAACTGTTTTTACATTTATTTATTGTGTATTGTGTATAGGAAGGGCGGGTGTGTATGGGTGCTATACCATAGCATAAGTATGGCGGTCACGAGGAAGTTCTCAGGAGTCTGTTCTCTTCCCCGGTGTAGTTTCATGGATCAAACTCAGGGTGGCAAGCTTGGCAGCAAAGCCATCTTGCTGACCAATAACTCGTTTTATAAGGTTATTGTTTTGTTTTGTTTTTTGTTTTTTTCTCCATTTTTCTTTTCCCCTAAAAAAGAGGAAGAAAGAAGAGGAAGATGAAGAAGATGAGGTAAGCGGGGATGAGGTGAAACTACACCGGCACTGTCTGTCACTCTGTTGCTTACAGAGGTGCTGGGGGAACAAAGAGAAAAGTCCCCAGCTTGTAGCAGAGCAGGAAGGGGTGTGACCTACTACGCTTTCATGCCGGAATCAGTGAAGCTCTACATATTTTAATTGATGCATTCTGCAGAACAGCCCGAGTGGCTCTCACCTGAGAATTAACTTTCAATGCTAATTCTTCTGCAACTAGCCCATTATGATTTTTGTGGATGGATATCTGAAAGATTCTTGCAGAAATTATCTTCTCTGTTTGCAGTGCTGGGGAGTCAACCCAGAGCCCTGAACATTTTAGACAGGCCCTTCCGCCGTTAATATGACCTGTGCTCTCTAAAAGGTTCCATTATCTTATCATGTGCTCTTCTTATATTCTTATGCTTGGGGTAACTGGAATGAGTGATCGATACATGCAGCCAAAACAAAGTCAAGCTAAGCGCTGTCTAATAGGCTACAATGGAGCTAAAATGAAAGGGACCGAGGAGTCAGAAAAGCCTGGAGCCAAAGGAACATAAGCAGGGGAATAGTGAAGCGCTGGGACGCACACCTGTGCTCAGCACTCAGGAGGCAGACGGGAGAGAAGAGGAGTTCAAAGTCATCTTCCTTGCTGGGCAAGCTCAAGGTCAGCCTGGACTCTAAAGGAACCAACAACAGCAACACGGCTCATGAAGTTACAAATAATGCTACTGAAACCAGTTTAAGTTGATTAAGAAAGAAAATGTCAGACGCCTAGGCATGATGGTTCACAGTTTGAATCTTAGTACTGGGAAGGCAGGGGCAGGAGTATCTCTGTGATTTCAAGGCCTGGTTTGTACAGCAAGTTCCAGGATAGTCAGAGGCTACATAGAGAGACCTTGTAGAAAGCAAGCAAGCAAGCAAGAAAGAAAGACTGAGAGGGAGGGAGGGAGGGAGGGAGGGAAGAGGGGAGGGAGGAAAGGATGGAGGAAGGAAGGAGAAAAAGGGGAAAAAAGAGAAAGGAAGGAAGAGAGAGGGACAGAGAGAAAAGAAGAAGGAGGAAGAGGGGGAGGAGGAGGAGGAGCAGGAGGAGGAGGAAAGAAGAAATTTGTGTGCTCATGTAAAAGACATTGAATTAACAATCTTTAAAAGCTAATGCCAGAGTGTCCCTCAAACTGATAATCATAGGATTGTTACAAGATGACCCAGCAACCCCACAACTATAGAGACAACTTGCACAACTATAAAGTACCTACAAGAACTAGTGTTCTTTGTGGCATTATTCACAATGACAAAAATTGGAAATAAACATGCTGCTGCTGCTGCTGCTGCTTCTGTTGAGCGTGCATCTATACAACAGTATGTAGAATTTATTCCGTTTGTATGAGGTGTCCAGAGAAGCCAGATACATAGAGATGTAGCAGTCGCTGCCTCTGGGCAGAATAGATAATGAGGAGGTACTGCGAGCAGGCCCACAGTTCTTTGGAAGGGTGAGTGGTGAGAGAAATGCTTTATAGCTAGATAGCGGCGATAGACAGTTCTGAAGGTAGTAAA